ACTGGATTCTGTCCAGCCTCTGAAGCCAAGTCTTCACCGCTGTTTCATAAACTATACACCCGTAACCAATTAACATCCCGATCAGAGCTCTATAAATATCCATCAACGATTGTCTGTCAACCAGAGATTGAGCGCATAAAATTCCCCACCTTCTTACACTTTGTTTCAACATTTATGACATGATCTTTCCATCTATATCGCTCATTGAACCATAGACCCACATATTTGTACTTAGAAACCCTCCCCATAGGCTGTCCATACAGAAACAACTGTATATTATCAGCAACTTTCTTCTTCGAGAATAACATACAGCAAGACTTTCTGACATGCACTGTCAACTGTGGGACTTTATATAGACAGGTGTGTTTCTTTCTAAATCATGTCCAAACAATCACATTGGCCACAGGTGTACTCCAATCAAGTTGTAGCAATGTCTCAAGGATGATTAAAGTAAATTGGATGCACCTGAGCTCAATTTGGAGTGTCATAGCAAAGGGGTGTGAATACTTATGTAAATTATGTATTGAGGCATGATGGAATGGGAAGGGATTTTTGTTATCTTTTAGTTGATAGTTGTTTTTCTTGGTGACCTCTTCTTCAACACTTCAATTACTGTTTACCTCGCACGTCACACTCAGGTTCTACTAGCTGATTTTTCAGAGGAAATGTGTTATTGAAGAAATGTGCAATGACTGTGATATGTGGTTGTTTAAACTTTTATATACGTCAGTGTAATGTAAGTCGCTCGAAGCTAATAGATAATATTTACCTAAATTAAAATGTAATTTATGCGTGGTTTGATTAATTAGAGTTTGGCGCCATCTACTCGTCAACATGTGTTTCGTCAGGTTATGTCAAAGATTTGTATAACTAAACCAAGATAGACCACCGCCTGTCGTTTCCAGAACAAGCAAGGAGGTGGGCAGAGCCAAGCATGAGCTAGCGAGATCCTATTGGCACGTTCTAGCAGACATCTGCATATTTCCGTTAGGGAACGCCTCCTCTGTGAAGTGCGCAATAACTAAATTCGCCTTTGCACTCCTTCTAAACAACGCGATTTTAAAAAACTTTTGCAAAGGGTCAAGTTTACAAAACTTAGTCCACTCTATTCATAACAGATTATAGTTTTGGGAACAGAAAACTGTATTGAGATCAAATGTTTCATCGATGATAAAATGTGCAGAATGTCAGCCAAAATCCATCTCGTTCCATCTTCTCCCACAGTCGGCCAGATGTTGCTTCCTCTCACTAACATATTTGGTAGTGAGTGGAAACGATAGGCGAATGCCTCATATTTATACTTCCGGTGAAATCTGTCTCAATGTTCTATCTGTGGTTACGTGCTGACCGCTGAACGAAAACGTCAGCCTAAACGTGCGTTACGCGTCATGACGATAAGCGTCTGCTCAGGCCACTTCCGCTCCTCCCACCCTTAGTTTCCACTAGATAACACAGCCACAAAGTCAACCTTGGCTTTATCGTAAGAATTCATGAAAAAAAAACATTTGCTTTTTGGTCTTAATTTAAGGTTAGGGTTAGATGTGGTTGATGTTAGGGTTTGGAACGGATGGATGGAAATGGCCAAATGATGGAACATTTGATAGAAAATAAAGATATGGTGTGCCTGAATGATGGCCGAGGGACCAGGATTGATGTAGCCACAGGGAAAGAGTTTGCCTTGGACCTCACTCTGGTATCTAGTGTGATGGCAGGAATCTGTGATTGGGCGGTATGGGAGTAGTCGACAGTAGGGAGTGATCATTACCCCATTGTATGCACAGTAGGCCGGAGGGAGGAGGAGGTGTCAGTGGATGGAGTAGGCAGGTGGGTGTTTGGAAGGGCAAAGTGGGATCAGTTTCAGGAGCTGAGTGAGCAGGTGATGGCTCGGGTGGATATGACAGGGGATGTGGATAGTATGAATAACTGGGTGAGAACAGCGTTAGTGGGGGCAGCTACTGAGGCTATACCTAAGAGTTCAGGGAGGAAGAGGAGGAAAGCAGTCCAATGGTGGACGGAGGAATGTGGGGCAATGGTGAGGAGTAGGATCAGGGCATTTAGAGTACTGAAAAGGACGCATAACTTCCAACATCTGATTCAGTATAAGCAGGCCCAGGCCGTGGTGAGGAGAACTATCCGTCAGGCAAAGAGGTCATGTTGGCATCGGTTCTGTGACACCATTGGAAGGGCGACACCGGTGGGAGAAGTGTGGGGGATGATTAAGAGGATGAGTGGGGTCAGAAGAGAGTGGGATTATCCAGTGTTGACGAGTGGGGAGGATGTGGCAGTAACAGATGAGGAGAAAGCAGAGATGATGGCCAAAGCATTTGTCCAAGTGCATAGCTCTGCAAATCTGTCAGAGGAGGGGCAGAGGGGGAGAGAGAACACGAGAGAGGAGCATCCTGGAGTGCTGGAAAGGAGGGAGGATGTAAATGATGCATTGAATGCAGCATTTACCAGGGCAGAGGTGAAAAGAGTAATAGGTAAGGCTGGGTTAACTTCACCTGGGAAAGATGAGGTGTGCTATGTTATGTTGGCCCATCTTAGTGATGAGGCACTGGATAAGGTATTGGTGTTGTACAACAGAGTGTGGGAGGAGGGAAAACTACCAGGCAGTTGGAAGGAGGCAGTAGTGGTACCAATCCGGAAGCCCGGGAAGGATCCAACAAAGCCAACAAGCTATCGGCAAATAGCTTTAACATCACATGTATGTAAGATTATGGAACGTATGATTACGGAGAGGGTAACTTACTTTCTGGAGAGCAGAGGGCTAGTATCGCCACATCAGAGTGGGTTCAGGAAGGGTAGGGGAACTATGGATCCAGTGCTCTGCTTAGAAGCAGAGGTCAGGATGGCTTAGGTGAACAAGGAGACTGTTGTAGCTGTCTTTTTTGATGTGGAGAAGGCATATGATATGATGCGGAAGGAGGGGTTGTTAATCAAGCTTGATATTATGGGGGTAGGAGGAAGAACGTACAACTGGATAAAGGAGTTCCTGTTTGGAAGGTCAATCTAGATGAGGGTGTGGAAGTCTCTATCAGGCAGCTACTTGGTGGATAACGGTACACAGCAGGGGAGCGTGATTAGTCCTCTGTTGTTCTCAATCATGATCAATTATGTTTACTCTCAGGTACAGCCGGGTATAGGGAGGTCGTTATTTGCAGATGATGGGGCCTTATGGAAGAGGGGAAGAAATGTGCCATACATAGTCAGGAAGGTACAGGAAGCAATTGATGAGGTAGAGCGGTGGGCATTAATGTGGGGATTCAGGTTCTCTGTAGAGAAAACTCTAACAGTGTTCTTTACCAGGAGGGAGGTGGGAGATGAGGTATGCTTGAGGTTATATGGGAGAAACCTGGAGAGGGTGGGGGCCTTCAGGTTCCTTGGGGTATACTTTGCCACTAGACTGACCTGGGAAGAACACATTGAGAGAGTGGTGGGAAAGTGTAAGAAGGTGCTAAACGTGATGCGCTGTCTGACGGGGAAGGAGTGGGGGGCTGGGTGTTCCTCATTGAAGACCATGTATGTTGCATTGATCCGATCGGTAATAGACTATGGCAGTATAGCATATGGTTCGGCAGCACGGACCTCACTGGAAATGCTAGATGTCATACAGGGGCAAGGACTCAGAATATGTAGTGGGGCATTTGGGACGTCCCCAGTGGCTGCATTACAGGTGGAGATGGGGGATATGCCATTGCAGATTAGGAGACAGCAGCTGGCAATGAAATATTGGGTCAACCTACAGGGACATGGGGTGTCTCATCCTGCGAAAGGGATTTTACAGGCATGCTGGGAACATGAGCGAATACAGAACACGAGCTTTGGGTGGATGGGTAATACCCAGGTGAAGGAGATGGGACTGTATGGAAGGGAGTTTAGTCCAACAGTAGTTATTCCTGTAAATCCACCATGGCAACTCCCGCCTCCAGTAGTTGATCTAGAAGTGTTGGAGAGACTACAGAAAGATAGGGAGGGGTTGATCCAGCTGATTTCTTTAAGAGACGCCTGGAAACAGTGTATCAGGATTTTGTGGCCATTTACACAGATGGTTCAAAGAACCAAGGACAGGACGTACTGGGTCAGCATTTGTAGCGCAGGAATGTGGAGTGGAAGTCAGGAAACGTATTACAGATCATCTGGCGGTATATACGGCGGAGCTGATGGCCATACTGTTGGCCTTGCAGTGGGTGGAGGAAGTCAAACAAGACAGAGTAGTTATTTGCTTTGATTCATGTGCAGTGTTAATGAGTCTCCAGTCCTTCAACTCACGTAGCAGACAATACCTGCTTTATGAGGTGCTACAAACCCATGGCAGGATTAAACAGATGGGTATTCAGATAAGATTTACTTGGGTCCCAGCCCATGTGGGGGTGGAGGGGAGGGGTGGAGGGGAACGAGGCATTAGATGAACATGCTAAACAAGCACTTAGTAGTGGGGATGTTGAAGTTTCAATGAGCAAGGCAGAGACAAAAAGACTGATATATATACAGTGATGGTGCAGAGATGGCGGGAGCAGTGGAATGGAGATAATAAGGGAAGGCATTTCAAATCAAATCAAATCAAGTACAGAGGAAAGGGAGGGGAGGGGAGGACGGCAGGAAGGGACAGAAGAGAGGAGGCTATTTTTACAAGATTAAGGGTGGTACACAGCCAGTTGATAATACATTAAATGTGATAGGAAAGCATCCACCAGGAAAGTGTGATTATTGTCAGGAAATAGAGACCGTGGAGCATGTATTGCTACAGTGTGGGCAGTATCAGAGGGAAAGAGATAGGATGGGATCTCTGAGGGAGAAGGGGATATAGGAAATTAGTTTAAATAGTGTATTGAGTAGAACGTCATTAGATATAGTCTCAAATATTTTGTTATATTTTTTAAGAGAAACGGGGTTGGCAGGTAGGATTTAGTTTCTCCCTGTCTCAGGCCCACACTCCAGTACGGAAGGTGGCGGTAATGCACCATAACGTTGGGTGCCAACCGCCGATAAACCCCACTGAAGAAGAAGAAGAAGAAGACGATTTTCTCTGCTCCGAAATTTGCAGAATAGAAAGCTTATGTTGTCGGTCAGCCTTGAAGAAAACTAAACGAGCCTAACTTGTCATGAGTGTTTTCTGTCGCTTTCTCTCGAGAGGACTTCTCTGCGGACGGGCAACATGTCGGTTTGTAACCGGACAGCAGGATTTCAGCGGTGGCATGCTGCGGATGGCTCGGGCTGTTGGCTCGACAAGGTAATGCCCTCTACTTGCTCCAGGCTAATAAATTGACGGCGAGTTAACATTCTAGCTAGCTACCTTCTTTAGCTACGTAATGTAAATGCACCGAATAAAAACATTACAGGAGAAATTGGATAGCAAGTTATTCAAGCAATCATCGACCTTCATTTGTGGCTGTTTGTGTTATTGAGGGATAGCTAGGGTATTTTATTTAGATGTATAGCTAACGTTAGTTAGCCAGCTAGCTGTACACTTGGCTGTGCCTGTGGGCTAAATTAATATATTAAAACATTTTATGTTGTATGACAAGCAGTGTGTGCCCATCAGATGTTGCTTGCATTGATGACTGTATTGTGTGTTGTCAAATCTCTAAAGCCCGACATTTGAATAGCATTTTAGCTAGCTAGCTAACCAGTTAGGCCAGCATTCCAACAATGACCCCGACCCTACCTACTCAGTATTTTTTAACTGCCCTAGGCTAGCAATCTAACGTTATGGTAAATCAGTTACTTCGTTGAATGAAAACATAATGTTGGACAGACAGTCAGTTACTTGTTTTGTTCACTACATTTCTTAGCCGAATTCATTACCAAGGATATGTTAATGTTAACAATTAATTCACGTCATTCTCACCTCTATTGTACCCCTGTGAAGATAGCAGCTAATGTGTTATCAAATAAACGACATGACTAAAAGATGTGGACACCTGCTCGTCGAACATCTCATTCCAAAATCATGACCATTAATATGGAGTTGGTCCCCCCTTAGCTGCTACAACAGCCTCCAATCTTCAGTCGCTCTGGATAAGAGGGTCTGCTAAATTATGTAAATGTTGGGTGTTGGAACATTGTTGCAGGGACTTGCTTCCATTCAGCCATGAGCATTAGTGAGGTCGGGCACTGATGTTGGGCGATTAGGCCTGGCTCGCAGTCAGCGTTCCAATTCATCCCAAAGGTGTTCGATGGGGTTGAATTCAGGGCTCTGTGCAGGCTAGTCAAGTTCTTCCATACAAGTGGGAAATATAAAGATCCAGTCCATAAAAAAAATTGGAGGGCCCCTTACACTTCAGTGTTGTGATGCAAAAATTCTAACAAAATGTATAGCGCATAGAATTAGAAAGGTATTGTCGGACATTATTCATCCTAATCAGACAGGTTTTTTTTTACATGGACGATACATTGGAGATAATATAAGGCAATTACTGGAAACAATAGAACACTATGAAAAATCTGGGAAACCAGGCCTGCTTTTGATAAAGTACTACTGGAGTTTATATATAAATGCCTGGAACATTTCAATTTTGGACAATCTCTTATAAAATGGGTTAAAATCATGTATAGTAACCCTAGGTGTAAATAATGGCTATTTCTCAGAAAGTTTTAAACTGTCAAGAGGAGTAAAACAAGGTTGTCCATATCAGCATATCTATCTATTATGGCCATCGAAATGTTAGCTATTAAAATCAGATCCAACAATAATATCAAGGGATTAGAAATTTTCCAGGGCTTAAAAACAAAGATGTCATTGTACGTTGATGATTCATGTTTTCTCTTAAATCCAAAACTTGGATCCCTCCACAGCCTCATAGAGGATCTAGATAAATGTTCTAGCCTCCCTGGATTACAACCAAATTTATGGTAAATGTACTATATTATGTATTGGATCACTAAAAAAATACAACTTTTACATTACTGTGTAGTATACCAATAAAATGGTCTGATGGTGGTGTGGATATACTTGGTATACATATCGCGAAAGAAATAAATGATCTCACTCCAATACATTTTAATAGAAAGTTAGCAAAAATAGATAAGGTCTTGCTACCATGGAAAGGTAAATACTTGTCTATTTGTGGAAAAATCACAGTGATTAACTCTTTAGTAATATCCCCGTTTTTTAAATTATGAGAAAAGATTCAATTTTATTTGGAATGGTAAGCCAGACAAAATTAAACGGGCCTATTTATATAAAAATATGAATTTGGAGGGCAGAAATGATTAAATATTAAAGCATTAGACCTCTCACTAAAGCCTTCAGTCATACAAAAGTTATACTTAAATCCGAACTGGTTCTCTAGCAAATTAGGGTGAGACATTCTTACTATATTCAAGAATGGCCTTTTTCCCTTTATTCAGATTACCATTTCTCACTTTCAGTTATTTGAAAAGGAAATAATCTCCCAAATATCACTATTCCTAAAACAAGTCATAGAAAGTTGGTTGCAATTTCTTTTTTCATCCACCAGAAACGACAACAAATAATACAACAAATATTGTGGTTGAACTCAAAAATACAAATTGATGATAAACCATTATTTTTAGAAGAAAAAAAAAAAAAAGGTATAATCTTCGTAAATGATATCATAGGTAGGACTGGTGGAGTTATGTCGCACATGCAGCTAACAAAAACATATGGAAATGTCTGCTCTACCCAAATTACAACAAACTAATTGCAGCATTACTGCAAAAAATTGAAGAGGAAAGTGGAAGGGGAACTTGGTCTGTCGGCCCTGCATTAAAGACCATAATTGCTTAAAGAAAATTGTGATTAATAAAAAAGTATACCAGTTTTATTTAAGGACCAAAAAATTGATAGCCGTCCCTTATAGATTACATAATAGTTGGGAAGAGATTTTTGACGTACCGATTCCATGGCACAGGGTTTATGAACGGATACGCAAAACGACACCGGATTCAAAACGTATAATGTTTCTATGTAAATTATTATACAAAATTCTTCCAACCAATAAAATGTTATTTACATGGGGGATACAACCTTCCCAGCTCTGCAGATTTTGCTGCGAAGAGACAGAATCATTAGATCATTTGTTTTGGTACTGTCCATATAAAGCTTGTTTTTGGTCACAGTCCAGGAATGGCTGAAGAATTGCAATATTTACCTGGAGCTAACCCTGCAGATGGCATTACTGGGTGATCTGAAAAGTCATAGTCAATCAATCAATAATATAATAATACTTTTAGCAAAAATGTTTATTTTCAATTTACAATCTGTAGAAACAATGAGAATAGAAAGGTTCAGAACTTTTGTGAAACATCACAGCACAGTTGAAAAATGTATGGCCAATAGAAATCCAATATGGATGGTGTTAAGAGATAGATGGGTGGTGTTGAATAGAGCTGAAGGTTGGGACTAATAACAACAAGGTAACAAATGTAAAACATTCTGTGTCCGTAAAACCTATATAGGTTATAGGTTAAGAACTTTTGTGAAAGAGCACAGTTTGAAAGACATGGCAAATAGAAATCAAACCGGATGGCCATCAGAAATAGATGGGAGAGGTTGAGGGTAGAGGAAGGACAGGAGTAAAAACAAACCAAATGGAACTATTGTAAAATGGACTGTCCATAAAATGTATAAAGTATGTATAAGCTGGAAGTAGAGGCCTAAGCGTTGTTGTTCACTAGTTTACTCAAATTACAGGAGGGGTGGTAGGGTTAGAAAGTAATAAAGGAAAATATATATATATTTTTAAGGGTGTGTGTGTGTGTGTGTGTATATATAGAGTTGTGGTCAAACGTTTTGAGAATGACACAAATATTAATTTTCACAAAGTCTGCTGCCTCAGTTTTAATGATGCCAATTTGCACATACTCCAGATGAATTGCAATTAATTGCAAGTCCCTCTTTGCCATGAAAATGAACTTAATCCCCCAAAAAACATTTCCACTGCATTTCAGCCCTGCCACAAAAGGACCAGCTGACATTATGTCAGTAATTCTCTCGTTAACACAGGTGAGTGTTGACGAGGACAAGGTTGGAGATCACTCTGTCATGCTGATTGAGTTAGAATAACAGACTGGAAGCTTTAAAAGGAGGGTGGCGCTTGAAATCTGTGTTCTTCCTCTGTTAACCATGGTTACCTGCAAGGAAACACGTGCCGTCATCATTGCTTTGCACAAAAAGGGCTTCACAGGCAAGGATATTGCTGCTAGTAAGATTGCACCTAAATCAACCATGTATCGGATCATCAAGAACTTCAAGGAGAGAGGTTCAATTGTTGTGAAGAAGGTATCAGGGCGCCCAAGAAAGTCCAGCAAAGCGCCAGGACCGTCTCCTAAAGTTGATTCAGCTGCGGGATCGGGGCACCACCAGTGCAGAGCTTGCTCAGGAATGGCAGCAGGCAGGTGTGAGTGCATCTGCACGCACAGTGAGGCGAAGACTTTTGGAGGATGGCCTGGTGTCAAGAAGGGCAGCGAGGAAGCCACTTCTCTCCAGGAAAAACATCAGGGACAGACTGATATTCTGCAAAAGGTACAGGGATTGGACTGCTGAGGACTGGGGTAAAGTCATTTTCTCTGATGAATCCCCTTTCCGATTGTTTGGGGCATCCGGAAAAAAGCTTGTCCGGAGAAGACAAGGTGAGCGCTACCATCAGTCCTGTGTCATGCCAACAGTAAAGCATCCTGAGACCTTTCATGTGTGGGGTTGCTTCTCAGCCAAGGGAGTGGGCTCACTCACAATTTTGCCTAAGAACAAAGCCATGAATAAAGAATGGTACCAACACATCCTCCGAGAGCAACTTCTCCCTACCATCCAAGAACAGGTTGGTGACGAACAATGCCTTTTCCAGCATGATGGAAAAGCACCTTGCCATAAGGCAAAAGTGATAACTAAGTGGCTCGGGGAACAAAACATCGACATTTTGGGTCCATGGCCAGGAAACTCCCCAGACCTTAATCCCATTGAGAACTTGTGATCAATCCTCAAGAGGCGGGTGGACAAACAAAAACCCACAAATTCTGACAAACTCCAAGCATTGATTATGCAAGAATGGGCTGCCGTCAGTCAGGATGTGGCCCAGAAGTTAATTGACAGCATGCCAGGGCGGATTGCAGACGTCTTGAAAAAGAAGGGTCAACACTGCAAATATTGACTCTTTGCATAAACTTAATGTAATTGTGAATAAAAGCCTTTGACACTTATGGAATGCTTGTAATTATACTTCAGTATACCATAACAACATCTGACAAAAATATCTAAAAACACTGAAGCAGCAAACTTTGTGAAGACCAATACTTGTGTCATTCTCAACTTTTGACCACGACTGTGTATGTAATATATAATAATATATTAGTACCAGTCAAAAGTTTGGACACACCTACTCATTCCAGGGGTTTCTTTATTTTTACTATTTTCTACATTGTAGAATAATATTGAAGATATCAAAACTATGAAATAAAACATATGGAATCATGTGGTAACCAAAAAAGTTTTAAATCAAAATATATTTTATATTTGAGATTCTTCAAAGTAGCCACCCTTTGCCTTGATGACAGCTTTGCAGACTCTTGGCATTCTCTCAACCAGCTTCATGAGGTAACCTGGAATGCATTTCAATTAACAGGTGTGCCTTGTTAATTTGTGGAATTTCTTTCCTCCTTAATGTGTTTGAGCCAATCAGTTGTGTTGTGACAAGGTAGGGTTGGTATACAGAAGATAGCCCTATTTGGTAAAAGACAAGTCCATATTATGGAAGAACAGCTCAAATAAGCAAAGAGAAATTACAGTCCATTACTTTAAGACATGAAGGTCAGTCAATACGGAACATTTCAATAACTTTGAACGTTTCTTCAAGTGCAGTCGCAAAAACCATCAACCGCTATGATGAAACTGGCTCTCATTAGGACCGCCACATGAAAGGAAGACCCAGAGTTACCTCTGCTGCAGAGGATAAGTTCATTAGAGTTATCAGCCATTTATTGCAGGCCCAAATAAATGCTTCACAGAGTGGAAGTAACAGACACATCTCAACATCAACTGTTCAGAGGAGACTGTGAAAATCAGGCCTCCATGGTCAAATTGCTGCAAAGAAACCAGTACTAAAGGACACCAATAAGAAGAGACTTGCTTGGGCCAAGAAACACGAACAATGGACATTAGACTGGTGGAAATTAGTCCTTTGGTCTGGAATCAAAATTGGAGATTTTTGGTTCCAACCGCCGTGTCTTTGTAAATGTCTTTGTGAGACGCGGTGTGGGTGAACGGATGATCTCTGCATGTGTAGTTCCCGCCATAAAACATGGAGGAGGAGGTGTTATGGTGTGGGGGTGCTTTGCTGGTGACACTGTCTGTGATTTATTTAGAATTCAAGGCACACTTAACCAGCATGGCTACCACAGCATTCTGCAGCGATACGCCATCCCATCTGGTTTGGGCTTAGTGGGAATATCATTTGTTTTTCAACAGGACAATGACCCAGCACACCTCTAGGCTGTGTAAGGGCTATTCTACCAAGAAGGAGAGGGGTGGAGTGCTGCATCAGATGACATGGCCTCCACAATCCCCCGACCTCAACCCAATTGAGATGGTTTGGGATGAGTCGGACCGCAGAGTGAAGGAAAAGCAGCCAACAAGTACTCAGCATATGTGGGAACTCCTTCAAGACTGTTGGAAAAGCATTCCAGGTGAAGCTGGTTGAGAGAATGCCAAGAGTGTGCAAAGCTGTCATCAAGGCAAAGGGTGGCTATCTGAGCTCTTCAGTAAGGCCATTCTACTGCCGATGTTTGTCTATGGAGATTGCATGGCTGTGTGCTCGATTTTATACACCTGTCAGCAACAGGTGTTGCTGAAATTGCCGAATCCACTCATTTGAAGGGGTGTCCACATACTTTTGTATATATGATGTGTATGTTAACTCTAACAATGTATTATTCTATTGTCTGTTGCAGCCCTGTGAACCTGACCTATGACGTGTTTGACGGGACAGGGGACAGCACCCCCCTGGTATTCCTCCATGGGCTGTTCGGCAGCAAGTCCAACTTCCACTCTATAGCCAAGTCCCTGGTGCAGAGGACAGGCCGAAAGGTAACGCATAGTCTCACAAGGCAGACAACTGTTTCAGATATATTACATGGGCGGCAGGTAGCCGAGCGATTAAAGAGTGTTGGGCCAGTTACCGAGAGGTTGCTAGTTCGAATCCTCAAGCCGGCTAGGTGAAAAATCTGTCTGTGCCCTTGAGCAAGGCACTTAACCCAAATTGCTATGCTAAATGACTAAAATGTAAATATACAGTTATTTACCACAAAGAGCAACACAAATGTTAATGTTAAAGACTGGAAATCAAGGATGGGTAACACAAGAGGAGGGAGGGATACACTAGGCTATGTATGCTTTGGTCAAGTGTTATCTTTCTCTCTAAACGACCGGTTATATAATAGTTAGTGTATAGATTTTATCTGAAGCCATGCTGATAAGGTTCAGATATTCTCTCACATACAGCCAGGTGTGCACAACTCTGTTCCTCGCGGGTGGCTGTTTTATTAATGATTTCTAATTGGTGAGTGTTGTGAAACCAGATATGTGCACTTTGGCCAATCAGTGACATTAATACATTCAAGTGCCAGTGATAAATGAATACATTTACATTTTAGTCACCAGCAGGATTGTGGCCTGTACCCTACTCCCCCCTCCCACCGTACTCCCCCTCTTTACTAATGAATCCCTAGTGTCTTTCCTGTCTGAGTGGTCACGCAGGAATGGACTGGACTGTAGTCTTCCATCTAGCCTATATCCCCCCTCCCTCTCCCCCCCTCTCCACCCCCCCTAGTGTCTTTCCTGTCTGAGTGGTCACGCAGGAATGGACTGGACTGTAGTCTTCCATCTAGCCTATATCCCCTCCCTCTCCCCCCTCTCCACCCCCCCTAGTGTCTTTCCTATCTGAGTGGTCACGCAGGAATGGACTGGACTGTAGTCTTCCATCTAGCCTATATCCCCTCCCTCTCCCCCCTCTCCCCCCTCTCCCCCCTCTCCACCCCCCCTAGTGTCTTAACTGTCTGAGTGGTCACGCAGGAATGGACTGGACTGTAGTCTTCCATCTAGCCTATATCCCCTCCCTCTCCCCTCTCTCCACCCCCCCTAGTGTCTTTCCTGTCTGAGTGGTCACGCAGGAATGGACTGGACTGTAGTCTTCCATCTAGCCTATATCCCCTCTCTCCACCCCCCCTAGTGTCTTAACTGTCTGAGTGGTCACGCAGGAATGGACTGGACTGTAGTCTTCCATCTAGCCTATATCTCCCCCCTCTCCCCTCTCTCCACCCCCCCTAGTGTCTTAACTGTCCTTTGTCCAGTCAGGTGCTGACGGTCGACGCCCGTAACCACGGTACCAGCACGCACAGCGCCGACCTGACCTACGAGGCGATGACCAATGACTTGACACACCTGCTCGCCCAGCTGCACATCGGGAAGTGCGTCCTGATTGGCCACAGCATGGGGGGCAAGGTCGCCATGACGACAGCCCTATCGCAGGTAAACGAACGAACGCCCCCAGAACATCAATATGAATCATTACCGCACCGTGGTTTCTGTTCAGCTTGAAGCTGCACTAATTACATTAGAAACCTGCGTTGATTACTGCTGCACTGTACCATGGGAAAGTGACTGCCCATCTCGCCTTACTTCCTGGATCCAGTCCCATACTTTTTCTGAATGCGCTTCAAGATTATATCATCAAAATCACAAAACCGCAGTCATTTAGCATATATACGGTATATAAAATGATATTCATATTCATGGGTTAATTTACTTCTACTCGATGCCTGTTAATGAAGTTTTTAGAAACGGAAGTGGTCACACTTTCCCATCGTATAGAGGTGGCAGAACTTTGTTCTTTCCGGTTCTCATTTCTTCCTCTCTCTTCTCCCTCTTCCTTCTCTCTCCCTCCTTCTACCTGTCTCTTCATCTATCACCCCCATTCCCCTTCCTTTCCCCGTATCTCTCCCTGTAGCCTGGCCTGGTGGAGAGGTTGGTAGTGGTGGACATCAGTCCAGCCCAGACCACCACCCGCACCAACTTCCACTCCTATATCCAGGCCATGAAGGATGTGAAGATCTCTAGTGACCTCCCTCGCTCGACCGCCCGCCGCATGGCCGAGGACCAGCTACGCAAACTGGTCAAGGTTAGGGCAAGCTCCTCTCACTGGCTATCACTACCAGGGTTCACACTACTGTTATTACCACCAGAGCTGTGTTCGAATAACCATACTAACATACTGTATACTACATACTTAATGAGTATATACTATTAGTTCATTTTAGTATACTGTAAACTAAAGGTATCCTTTCAGTTGAGCGAACTAGCGCTACACCTGTCTACCGGAAGTTGATGCTGTTGCTATGCAACCTCTTGCTAGCTTGTTAGCGTAACAAATTACTAGCTAGACATCTTATGACTTCATGTGTGCACTCTGGGCGTTCGTAAATTCAGAACGTTGTCAGATTTTCCTTTAGTAAATTCAGAGTGTTTCGCTCTCTGAGCGTTCAGAGAGCACACTGGACGCTCTGGCCGAGGAGTATGGTTGATCTGAGTGTTCTGACCTCACAACGGCAGTCAAGCACCTAAGCTAACTGGCTAACGTTGGCTAGCTACTTCCTGACACAAATGAGAGAACACCTCACTGACCATTTTACTCACCTTAGCAAAGCTGGTTAGGCTGTTTTCATGTTATCCTGAGTGTTGGTGACTGTAACTGTGCTGCTGGCAACAATTTAATAATGTTTTGTTGTTGACGTTTACTGACACCTGCCATATGTTGAGTGTTTCGTAAACTATCCCACTTAGCTAAGAATGACGTGAATAATCAGGTCAATAAACGTTGGGTAGTTAGTTAGATACCATATAGTTAATATACTGGCAAGTTCGATGTATTAGTAGCCAACTAACGTTAGGTAACTAGCTAACATACCGGTACATACTGCTGTAATGATATGCTATGCGGTTCGTAAGGATAGCGTAGCTAACAAATTGTCAGCCAACATAATGTGTAACGTATTTGAAAAGTCATTACTTTATTACATTGCTCAACATTTTTCTTAACATTTGTCATAATTAGTTAAAGCAATGAATTTGTATCCGCTCTCGTCAAACTTCGGCTGCATATTTTCAGCCATTTTCTTCAAATCTGAAAACGTTGTGAAGCCACGCCCATTTTCGGAGGAATTGCATTATGGTCCCTAAAAGCACAAAAATAGTGTCCACTGCTTGTATAATTAGTATTTTGGCGAATGTAGTACGACATCCAGGAACTTTTGGCATACTAACTATATCCATACTATGACCAATAAGCATACTACATACTCAATTTACGTCACAAATAGTATGGTTAGTGCGGTTAGTATGAGTATTCATACACAGCTCAGGGTTCACACTACTGTTATTACCACCAGGGTTCACACTACCAGTCACTACTGTTATTACCACCAGGGTTCACACTACCACCAGGGTTCACACTACTGTTGATGCCACCAGGGTTCACACTACTGTTGATGCCACCAGGGTTCACACTACTGTTATTACCACCAGGGTTCACACTACTGTTATTACCACCAGGGTTCACACTACTGTTGATGCCACCAGGGTTCACACTACTGTTATTACCACCAGGGTTCACACTACTGTTATTACCACCAGGGTTCACACTACTGTTGATACCACCAGGGTTCACACTACCAGTCACTACTGTTATTAACACCAGGGTTCACACTACTGTTATTACCACCAGGGTTCACACTACCAGTCACTACTGTTATTACCACCAGGGTTCACACTACTGTTGATACCACCAGGGTTCACACTACTGTTGATACCACCAGGGTTCACACTACCAGTCACTACTGTTATTACCACCAGGGTTCACACTACTGTTATTACCACCAGGGTTCACACTACTGTTGATACCTCCAGGGTTCACACTACCAGTCACCACTGTTATTACCACCAGGGTTCACACTACTGTTATTACCACCAGGGTTCACACTACTGTTGATACCACCAGGGTTCACACTACCAGTCACTACTGTTATTACCACCAGGGTTCACACTACTGTTATTACCACCAGGGTTCACACTACTGTTGATACCACCAGGGTTCACACTACTGTTGATACCACCAGGGTTCACACTACCAGTCACTACTGTTATTACCACCAGGGTTCACACTACTGTTATTACCACCAGGGTTCACACTACTGTTGATACCACCAGGGTTCACACTACTGTTGATACCACCAGGGTTCACACTACCAGTCACTACTGTTATTACCACCAGGGTTCACAGTACCAGTCACTACTCGGATACCTCCTGCACCTCGACCTGTTGTTTCGGCCTGTTGTTACCAAAGTTTAATTTGTTCATAAGTGTTTGTGTCAAAACCTGCTGATTTGGACGGAATATTTACCAACTAGTCAGCTAGCTACCTAGGTTGCAATGGAGCCCGCTTCGCCTGGAATAGCTAACGAACGTTTCCAGCGCTGTAGAAGCTGTGTTTATTACGCTCTTGTCCTGGACAGTAATAACAATCCGGAGTTCCAATGCGGTAATTGTTTGCTTGTGGAGGATTACAGGAATGAGGTGGCTATCGTTAGCAAGCAATTTTCTATTTTGCGCAAACTTATGGAGGAAAACGTAAATTTGAACCTTCTCGTTCTCAACTCCTGTGGCTGGACGCCGCTCTGGCTTGATGGATGGACGTGTAGCCCTCCATAACTGGCTACGTGACTATTGCAGCTCTGTGGTTGTAACATTTATTGACCATTTTTTATACCTTCTGGAAACAAAGCTTGTTTTTATAAGGAGGATGGGATCCACCCAAATCATTTGGGTTCCTGGATCCTTTCACAGCATTATAAGGCTGCGTTGAGACAATGACCCAAGCCCAGCTCAGTTAATCCCTACCATTGTGTTGCTATGTTGTCATAATGCTTCAGCAAATGTACATTATCCCATGGGTGTTGGTAGACACAATGTAAGTAACCTAATTTACAGTGCATTTGGAAAGTATTCAGACCATTCACTTTTTCTACATTTTGTTACGTTACAGCCTTATTCTAAAATAGATTTTATTTTAAAATCCCTCACCAATCTAAACACAACCCCATGATGACAAAGCGAAAACAGGTTTTTAGTTATTTTTTTCAGATTCATATATCTTTTTAACAGAAACCTTATTTACATACGTATTCAGACCCTTTGCGATGAGACTAGAAATTGAGCTCCGGTGCGTCATGTTTCCATTGCTCATCCTTGAGATGTTTCTACAACTTAATTGGAGTCCACCTGTGGTAAATTCAATTGATTGGACATGATTTGGAAAAGCACACACCTGTCTATATAAGGTCCAACAGTTGACGGTGCATGTCAGAGCAAAAACCAAGCCATGAGGTCGAAGGAATTGTCCGTAGAGCTCCGAGACAGCAATGTGTCGAGGCACAGATCTGGGGAAGGGTACCCAGAAATGTCTGCAGCGTTGACGGTCCCCAAGGACACAGTGGCCTCCATCATTCTTAAATGGAAGAAGTTTGGAACCACCAAGACTCTTCCTAGAGCTGGCCGCCCAGCCAAACTGAGCAATCGGTGGAGAAGGGCCTTGATCAGGGAGGTGACCAAGAACCCGATGGTCACTGACAGAGCTCCAGAGTTCCTCTGTGGAGATGGGGGAACCTTCTAAAAGGACTACCATCTCCGTAGCACTCCACCATTCAGGCCTTTTATAGTAGAGTGGCCAGACGGAAGACACTCCTCCGTAAAAGGAACATGACAGCCCGCTTGGAGTTTGCCAAAAGGCACCTAAAGGACTCTCAGACCATGAGAAACAATATTCTCTGGGCTGATGAAACCAAGATTGAACTCTTTGGCCTGAATGCCAAGCATCACGTCCGGAGGAAAGCAGGAACCGCTCATCACCTGGCCAATACCATCCCTACAGTGAAGCATGGTTGTGGCAGCATCATGCTGTGGGGATGTTTTTCAGTGGCAGGGACTGGGAGTCTAGTCAGGATTGAGGAAAAGATGAATGGAGAGATCCTTGATGAAAACCTGCTCAGTACCTCAGACTGGGGCAAAGGTTCACCTTCCAACAGAACAATGACCCTAAGCACACAGCCAAGACAATGCAGGAGTGGCTCCGGGACAAGTCTCTGAATGTCCTTGAGTGGCCCAGCCAGAGCCTGGACTTGAACCCGATCGAACATCTCTGGAGAGACCTGAAAATAGCTGTGCAGCGACGCTCCCCATCCAACCTGACAGAGCTTGACAGGATCTGCAGAGAAGAATGGGAGAAGCTCCCCAAATACAGGTGTGCTAAGCTTGTATTGTCATACCCAAGAACACTCAAGGCTGTAATCGCTGCCAAATATGCTTCAACAAAGTACTGAGTAAAGGGTCTGAATACTTATGTAAATGTAATTTCAGTTTTATATTTGTAATACATTTGCAAACATTTCTAAAAACCTGTTTTTGCTTTGTCATTATGGGGTATTTTGTATAGATTGAGGGGGGGGGGGGGGGAACAATTTAATCCATTTTAAAATAAGGCTGTATTGTAACAAAATTTGGAAAAAGTGAAGGGGTCTGAATACTTTCCGAATGCACTGTATGTCCCTCTAATAATAATAATAAATAATATGCCATTTAGCAGACGCTTTTATCCAAAGCGACTTACAGTCATGCGTGCATAAATGTTTTGTGTATGGGTGGTCCCGGGGATCGAACCCACTACCTTGGCGTTACAAGCGCCGTGCTCTACCAGCTGAGCTACAGAGGACCTCTAACTGCCATGAATGCCTCTGCTGATCCTACAGCTATTGTATGCAGTAATCATGTGCCTATGGACAAGAGTTATACTGTTAGCACTGAGGCGGTGTGCCCTAGTAGGAAGTCCGCTGTGTGCAGCTCACCCTGCACTAACATAAATAACATGAGCATGTCTACTTCTGCTAAGCTTCCCAGTAAAGCAATGAAAACAATCAAGCATCCCAGAAAAGTGCTAAAATTAGCCCACGTTAACATATAAAGCTTAAGAAATCAATAATTTGCTAGAAACAGATGACATTCATATTATGACAATCTCTGAAAACTCACTTTGATAATACCTTTGATACAGTGGTAGCAATACATGGTTATAACATCTACAGAAATGCCAATGGTGGAGGTGTTGCTGTTTATTCAGAACCACATTCCTTTAAAGCTTAGAGAGGATCTCATGTTAAATACTGTTGAAGTAATATGACTACAGGTTCATCTGCCTCACCTAAAGCCCATTCTGCTGGGAAGCTGATATAGAACACCAAGTGCGAACAGTCAGTATCTGGATAACGTGTGAAATGCTTGATAATGTATGTGATATCAACATTGTTTTTCTGGATGATTTAAATATTGATTGGCTTTCATCAAGCTGCCACTCAAGAGAAAGCTTCAAACTTTAACCTGTACCTGCAACCTGGTTCAGGTTATCAGTCAACCTACCAGGGTAGTTACAAACGGCACAGGAATGAAATCATCAATGTATTGATCACATCTTTACTAATGCTGCAGAAATTTGCTTTAAAGCAGTATACAAATCCATCGGATGTAGTGATCACAATATAGTAGCCATATCCAGGAAAACCGAAGTTCCAAAGTCTGGGCCTAATATAGTGTATAAGGTCATACAATAAGTTTTGTAGTAATTCCTATGTTGATGTAAAGAATATTTGTTGGTGTGTAATGAGGAGCAGCCAGACGCTGCAATTGACACATTTATGAAATTGCTTATTCCAGTTAGTAATAAGCATGCACCCATTTTAAGAAAATGACTGTAAAAACGGTAAAATCCCTGTGGATTGATGAGGAATTGAAAATTTTTATGTTTGAGAGGGATGAGGCAAAAGGAATGGGAAATAAGTCTGGCTGCACAACCGATTGGCAAACGTACTGCAAACTTAACAAATCATGTGACTAAACTGAATAAAAAGAAGAAACTATACAATGAAACAAAGATGAATGATAGTTAAAAGCTTTGGAACACCTTAAGTGAATTTTGGGCAAAAAGGCAAACTCCGCTCCATCATTCATTGAATCAGATGGCGCATTCATCACAAAACCCACTGATATTGCCAATTACTTGGCAAGATTAGCTCATTTAGGCATGACATGCCAGCAACAAAAGCTGACACTACACATCCAAGTATAACTGATCAAATTATGAAAGACAAGCATTGTCATTTTTTATTCTGTAAAGTGAGTGTGGAAGAGGGGAAAAAATTGTCTGTCAACAATAAGCCACCGGGGTCTGACAACTTGGATGATAGCGGACGATATTGCCACTCCTATTTGCCATACAGTGGGGAGAACAAGTATTTGATACACTGCCGATTTTGCAGGTTTTCCTACATACAAAGCATGTAGAGGTCTGTAATTTTTTATCATAGGTACACTTCAACTGTAAGAGATGGAATCTAAAACAAAAATCCAGAAAATCACATTGTATGATTTTTAAGTAATTAATTTTGCTTTTTATTGCATGACATGAGTATTTGATCACCTACCAACCAGAATTCCGGCTCTCACAGACCTGTTCGTTTTTCTTTAAGAAGCCCTACTGTTCTCCACTCATTACCTGTATTAACTGCACCTGTTTGAACTCGTTACCTGTATAAAAGACACCTGTCCACACACTCAATCAAACAGACTCCAACCTCTCCACAATGGCCAAGACCAGAGAGCTGTGTAAGGACATCAGGGATAAAATTGTAGACCTGCACAAGGCTGGGATGGGCTACAGGACAATCGGCAAGCAGCTTGGTGAGAAGGCAACAACTGTTGGCGCAATTATTAGAAAATGGAAGATGACGGTCAATCACCCTCGGTCTGGGGCTCCATGCAAGATCTCACCTCGTGGGGCATCAATGATCATGAGGAAGGTGAGGGATCAGCCCAGGACTACACGGCAGGACCTGGTCAATGACCTGAAGAGAGCTGGGACCACAGTCTAAAAAAATAAACATTAGTAACACACTACGCCGTCATGGATTAAAATCCTGCAGCGCATGCAAGGTCCCCCTGCTCAAGCCAGTGCATGTCCAGGCCCGTCTGAAGTTTGCCAATGACCATCTGGATGATCCAGAGGAGGAATGGGAGAAGGTCACTCGCCGTGTTTGGAGAAAGAAGAAGGATGAGTACAACCCCAAGAACACCATCCCAACCGTGAAGCATGGAGGTGGAAACATCATTCTTTGGGGATGCTTTTCTGCAAAGGGGACAGGACGACTGCCCGTATTGAGGGGAGGATGGATGGGGCCATGTATCGCGAGATCTTGGCCAACAACCTCCTTCCCTCAGTAAGAGCATTGAAGATGGGTCGTGGCTGGGTCTTCCAGCATGACAACGACCCGAAACACACAGCCAGGGCAACTAAGGAGTGGCTCCGTAAGAAGCATCTCAAGGTTCTGGAGTGGCCTAGCCAGTCTCCAGACCTGAACCCAATAGAAAATCTTTGGAGGGAGCTGAAAGTCCGTATTGCCCAGCGACAGCCCCGAAACCTGAAGGATCTGGAAAAGGTCTGTATGGAGGAGTGGGCCAAAACCCCTGCTGCAGTGTGTGCAAACCTGGTCAAGACCTACAGGAAACGTATGATCTCTGTAATTGCAAACAAAGGTTTCTGTACCAAATATTAAGTTCTGCTTTTCTGATGTATCAAATACTTATGTCATGCAATAAAATGCAAATTAATTACTTTAAGATCATACAATGTCATTTTCTGGATTTTTGTTTTACATTCCGTCTCTCACAGTTGAAGTGTACCTATGATAAAAACTACAGACCTCTACATGCTTTGTAAGTAGGAAAACCTGCAAAATCGGCAGTGTATCAAATACTTGTTCTCCCCACTGTATCTTCAATTTTAAGCCTACTAGAAAGTGTGTGCGCTCAGGCCTGGAGGGAAGCAAAAGTAATTCCGCTACGCAAGAATAGTAAAGCCCCCTTTACTGGCTCAAATAGCCGACCAATCAGCCCGTTACCAACCCATAGTAAACTTTGGGGAAAAGTTGTGTTTGAGCAATGCTATTTTACTGTAAAAAAATTGACAACAGAATTTCAGCATGCTTATAGGGAAGGACATTCAACAAGCACAGCACTTACACAAATGACTGATGATTGGCTGAGAGAAATTGATGATAAAAAGATTGTGGGCGCTGTTTTGTTAGACTTCAGTGCAGCTTTTGACATTATCGATCATGGTCTGCTGATGGAAAAACGTTAAGTGTTATGGCTTTACACCCCTTGCTATATTGTGGATAAAGAGTTACCTGTCTAACAGAACACAGAGGGTGTTCTTTAATGGAAGCCTCTCCAACATAACCCAGGTAGATCAGATCCCATGGCAGCGTCTAGGGCGTCAGGTGCTTAGTGGGTAAGCGTTGGCCATGGCGTCGCTGGTTCTAATCCCGAGCCGACAGGTGGAAACTGTCGATGTGCCTTAGCAAGGCACTAACCCTAATTGCTGATGTCATAGAGGTCTTAAATGACTTAATTAATGTAAATGTGGCCTTAATTTTTCAACTTTACTAAGACCACTGGCTTTGAGTAAAGTCAGTGTGTCTATGTTGCGATGTCACATGGAGCACCTGGCAGGCGGCAGTAGCTAGTGGTTAGGCGTTTGCCAGTGAAAGGCTGTTCTAACCCGACCGATGTGAAAATCTGTCGATTGCCCTGAGCAGGCACTTACCCTAATGCTCTGTGCGTTGGATAAAGGCTCAAATGACCAATATTTTATTTATTTACATGTTACAGCTACTACAGCGAGTGAAATCACTGCTGTTTCAGAATGGGTGGCAAGGATTAAGTTAGTCCTAAATATTTCAAAAACTAAAAACATTGTATTTTGGACAAATCATTAACTAAACCCTAAACCTCAACTAAATCTTGTAATAATTTGGAAATTGAGGTTACTCAATTGCTTGGAGTAATCCTGGATTGTAAACTGTCATGGTCAAAACATATTGATACAACAATAGCTAAGATGGGGCGAAGTCTGTCCATAATACAGCGCTGCTCTGCCTTTTTAACAACACTATCAACAAGGCAGGTCCTATAAGCCCTAGTTTTGTCGCACCTGGACTACTGTTCAGTCTTTTGGTCAGGTGCCACAAAGAGGGACCTCTGAAAATTTAAATTGGCTCAGAACAGGGCAGCACGGCTGGCCCTTAAATGTACACAGAGAGCTAACATTAATCTCTCATGGCTCAAAGTGGAGGAGAGATTGACTTCATCACTACTTGTTTTTGTAAGAAGTGTTGACATGCTGAATGCCCCGAGGTGTCTGTTTTAAACTACTAGCACACAGCTCGGACACCCATGCATACCCCACAAGACATGCCACCAAAGGTCTCTTCACAATCCCCAAGTCAAGAATGGACTATGGGAGGCGCACAGTACTACATAGAGCCATAGCTACATGGAACTCTATTCCACATCAGGTAACTGATGCAAGCAGTAGAATCAGATTATTTAAAAACAGATAAAAATACACCTTATGGAACAGCGGGTACTGTGAAGAGACACACAGGCACAGACACATCTTTTTGCAGCTAAACGGTTAACATCCCTAGTCCTTGGAGAATGAATGAATGAATGCGTTGTGAAACCAAATGGATATAAAGTCCTCTTCAGTTGGTTGACTAATCCCACGCACCATCTAAAGGGCTTTGGAATTGAGTGAAAAGCACTATTATATACAGTAGATGCAGTCCATTACCAGGCTGTGTTGTGAAACCAAAGAGAAGGCATTTGGAGGACATACCCTGTGATAGTTTGTGTCTAGTAATGGTGTTATGTTCCTTCCTGTGTTCAGGAGCGCTCAGTGCGCCAGTTCCTGCTGACTAACTTGGTGGAGCAGAACGGACACTACGCCTGGAGGGTCAACCTGGACGCCATCGCCGCGCACCTTGATGACATCATGAGCTTCCCTACCTTCGAAACCACATACGAGGGCCCCACCCTCTTCCTGGGCGGAGCCAGTTCTGCCTACATCAGGTAGAAGATGTAATCTGCTATACAGTTTTAATAGCTGTCATTGGTGTAAGACTGCTTTGGGACCTAGAACAGCGCCGGAGAAGATGGCTGCCGTTTTACAGCCCTCTAACCAATTGTACTATTATGTGTGTTTTTCCGCGTTATTTGTAATTTATTTTGTACATAATGTTTCTGCCATCGTCTCTTATAACCAAAAAGAGCTTCTGGATATCAGGACAGCAATTACTCACCTCGTATTGGACGAAGATTTTTTCTTCAACGTGGCGGCCGCGAAGGATATCCTACAGACACCCGACAAGGCCCAAATCCCCGTCATTCGCATGAGGAAGAGACGGAGATATCGTGGACGTAGGTCGGGGTGCCTTGTAAGGATCCGACGGCGAGCGAGTAAACTGCCGCTCCCATCAATCCTATTAGCCAATCTTCAATCATTGGAGAACAAATTGGATGACCTAAGATTACTGTTATCCTACCAACGGGACATTAAAAACTGTAATATCTTATGTTTCACCGAGTCGTGGCTGAATGACGACATGGACAACATACAGCTAGCGGGCTATACGCTACATCGGCAGGATAGAACGGCTGACTCCGGTAAGACAAGGGGTGGCGGTCTGTGTATATTTGTAAACAACAGCTGGTGCACAAAATCAAATACTAAGGAAGTCTCGAGGTTTTGCTCGCCTGAGGTAGAGTATCTTATGATAAGCTGTAGACCACACTATTTACCAAGAGAGTTTTCATCTATATTTTTCATAGCTGTCTATTTACCACCACAAACCAATGCTGGCATTAAGATTGCACTGAATGAGCTGTATAAGGCCATAAATCAACAGGAAAACGCTCATCCAGATGCAGCGCTCCTAGTGGCCGGGGACTTTAATGCAGGGAAACTTAAATCCGTTCTACCTAATTTCTACCAGCATGTTAAATGTGCAACCAGAGGAAAAAAAACTCTAGACCACCTTTACTCCACACACAGAGACGCATACAAAGCTCTCCCTCGCCCTCCATTTGGCAAATCTGACCATAACTCTATCCTCCTGATACCTGCTTATAAGCAAAAACTAAAGCAGGAAGCACCAGTGACTCGGTTAATAAAAAAGTGGTCAGATGACGCAGATGCTAAGCTACAGGACTTTTTTGCTAGCACAGACTGGAACATGTTCCGGGATTCTTCAGATAGCATTGAGGAGTACACCACATCAGTCACTGGCTTCATCAATAAGTGCATCGATGATGTCGTCCCCACAGTGACCGTACGTACATACCCCAACCAGAAGCCATGGATTACAGGAAACATCCGCACTGAGCTAAAGGATAGAGCTGCCGCTTTCAAGGAGCGGGACTCTAACCCGGACGCTTATAAGAAATCCCGCTATGCCCTCCGACGAACCATCAAACAGGCAAAGAGTCAATACAGGACTAAGATTGAATCGTACTACACTGGCTCTGACGCTCGTCGGATGTGGCAGGGCTTGAAAACTATTACAGACTACAAAGGGAAGCACAGCCGCGAGCTGCCCAGTGACACAAGCCTACCAGACGACCTAAACCACTTCTATGCTCGCTTCGAGGCAAGCAACACTGAAGCATGCATGTGAGCACCAGCTGTTCCGGATTACTATGTGATCACGCTCTCCGTAGCCGATGTGAGTAAGACTTTTAAGCAGGTCAACATTCACAAGGCCGCAGGGCCAGACGGATTACCAGGGCGTGTACTCCGAGCATGTGCTGACCAACTGGCAAGTGTCTTCACTGACATTTTCAACATGTCCCTGACTGAGTCTGTAATACCAACATGTTTCAAGCAGACCACCATAGTCCCCGTGCCCAAGGACTCTAAGATAACCTGCCTAAATGACTACCGACCCGTAGCACTGACGTCTGTAGCCATGAAGTGCTTTGAAAGGCTGGTCATGGCTCACATCAACAGCATTATCCCAGAAACCCTAGACCCACTCCAATTTGCATACCGCCCCAACAGATCCACAGATGATGCAATCTCTATTGCACTCCACACTGCCCTTTCCCACCTGGACAAGAGGAACACCTACGTGAGAATGCTATTCATTGACTACAGCTCAGCATTCAACACCATAGTGCCCTCAAAGCTCATCACTAAGCTAAGGATCCTGGGACTAAACACCTCCCTCTGCAACTGGATCCTGGACTTCCAGACGGGCCGCCCCCAGGTGGTAAGGGTAGGTAACAACACATCTGCCACACTGATCCTCAACACGGGGGCCCCTCAGGGGTGCGTGCTCAGTCCCCTCCTGTACTCCCTGTTCACCCACGACTGCATGGCCAGGCACGACTCCAACACCATCATTAAGTTTGCCGACGACATAACAGTGGTAGGCCTGATCACCGACAACGATGAGACAGCCTATAGGGAGGAGGTCAGAGACCTGGCCGTGTGGTGCCAGGACAACAACCTCTCCCTCAACGTGACCAAGACAAAGGAGATGATTGTGGACTACAGGAACAAAAAGAGGACTGAGCACGCCCCCATTTCTCATCGACGGGGCTGTAGTGGAACAGGTTGAGAGCTTCAAGTTCCTTGGTGTCCACATCACCAACGAACTATCATGGTCCAAACACACCAAGACAGTCGTGAAGTGGGCACGACAAAGCCTATTCCCCCTCAGGAGAGGTTTGGCATAGGTCCTCAGATCCTCAAAAAATTATACAGCTGCACCATCGAGAGCATCCTGACTGGTTGCATCACCGCCTGGTATGGCAACTGCTTGGCTTCCTGCCATCCAGGACCTCTATACCAGGCGGTGTCAGAGGAAGGCCCTCAAAATTGTCAAAGACTCCAGCCACCCTAGTCATAGACTGTTCTCTCTGCTACCGCACGGCAAGCGGTACCAGAGTGCCAAGTCTAGGTCCAAAAGACTTCTCAACAGCTTCTACCCCCAAGCCATAAGACTCCTGAACAGCTAATCATGGCTACCCGGACTATTTGCACTGCCCCCCCACCCCATCCTTTTACGCTGCTGCTACTCTGTTAATTATTTATGCATAGTCACTTTAACTCTAACCACATGTACATATTACTTCAACTACCTCAACTAGCCGGTGCCCCCGCACATTGACTCTGCACCGGTACCCCCCTGTATATATAGCCTCCCTACTGTTATTTTATTTTACTTCTGCTCTTTTTTTCTCAACACTTTTTTTGTTGTTGTTTTATTTTTACTTTTTTGTTAAAAATAAATGCACTGTTGGTTAAGGGCTGTAAGTAAGCATTTCACTGTAATGTCTGCACCTGTTGTATTCGGCGCATGTGGCCAATAAAATTTGATTTGATTTAATATTTCAACTATGATTGATTTGGTGTCTTCTGTTTACCTACTTTGACTCTCTCTCTGCTTTCTCTCTCTGCTTTCTCTCTCTTTTTTCTCTCTCAGTTCTGAGGACTATCCAGAGATCCAGCGGTTGTTCCCCTGTGCAGACATTCAGTACATCCCAGACGCCAGCCACTGGATCCACGCAGACAAACCCCTGGACTTCATCAGCTCCATCAGCTCCTTCCTGCAGCCCTAACCGTACTCTGCTCCAACCCTCTCCATCCACCACCACCTAATTACTAACCCTACTCTGCTCCAACCCTCTCCACCCACCACCACCTAATTACTAACCCTACCCTGCTCCAACCCTCTCCACCCACCACCACCTAATTACTAACCCTACTCTGCTCCAACCCTCTCCACCCACCACCACCTAATTACTAACCCCTACTCTGCTCCAACCCTCTCCACCCACCACCACCTAATTACTAACCCTACCCTGCTCCAACCCTCTCCACCCACCACCACCTAATTACTAACCCTACTCTGCTCAAACCCTCTCCACCCACCACCACCTAATTACTAACCCTACTCTGCTCAAACCCTCTCCACCCACCACCACCTAATTACTAACCCTACTCTGCTCCAACCCTCTCCACCCACCACCACCTAATTACTAACCCTACCCTGCTCCAACCCTCTCCACCCACCACCACCTAATTACTAACCCTACTCTGCTCCAACCCTCTCCACTCACCACCACCTAATTACTAACCATACTCTGCTCCAACCCTCTCCACCCACCACCACCTAATTACTAACCCTACTCTGCTCCAACCCTCTCCACCCACCACCACCTAATTACTAACCCTACCCTGCTCAAACCCTCTCCACCCACCACCACCTAATTACTAACCCCTACTCTGCTCCAACCCTCTCCACCCACCACCACCTAATTACTAACCCTACTCTGCTCCAACCCTCTCCACCCACCACCACCTAATTACTAACCCTACCCTGCTCCAACCCTCTCCACCCACCACCACCTAATTACTAACCCCTACTCTGCTCCAACCCTCTCCACCCACCACCACCTAATTACTAACCCTACCCTGCTCCAACCCTCTCCACCACCACCACCTAATTACAACCCTAATCTGCTCCAACCTTCCACCCACACACCTAATTACAACCCTATCTGCCCACCCTCTCCACCCACCACCACCTAATTACTAACCCTATGGCCCAACTCTCCACACCAGCACTAATACTAACCCCTAATCTGCTCCAACCTCTCCCACTCACCACACCTAATTACTAACCCTCTCTGCTCAACCTCCCCACCACACCACCTAATTACTAACCCTACCCTGCTCCAACCCTCTCCACCCACCACCACCTAATTACAGGACAACCACTGGCCTTTAACATTATTCACGCTACTATGGCACAGCACAAAGCCACTGTTATCCAATGGAGTAGAAGCACAAGCTCGGAAGGGCATGCTATGCTGCGAAGGCTCTGAGGGTGTCTGTCACCGCTGTTGCCTGCACTCATCAAAGTTCAAATCATTTTTGGACCTTTCCAATGTCTGTGCGTGGTGTTGTTAGGCTCCGCCCACTCACACTGGGGGTCCACCTCTTAAAACAGCCAGTAGGTAGAGCTTCAAACCAGAGGAGGCGCAGCCATCTTAGTAGACAATCCTAATATTGCTAACCCTGGACCAAACTCACTCTTTCTTTCCATGCTGACTGTCTTACCCTTAAAGGAGCTGTATGTAATGTTTTGGAATTTGTAATTTCAGAAAATGTCTTTAATATATCTACAGTAATAGCGGAAAGATAGTTTCATATTTTTCCCCCAAAAAAAGGTTGGGCCCACACCAAATTGCATTCTAATGGTGCAGCCTTCTTATTGGTCAGCAAAAGACAGACAATCTCTTGTTGTGAAATTGACTGGGGCCAGCAAATCTCTTGTTGTCAAATTGACAACAAGAGTTACATATAGCTCCTTTAACCGCCATCTTGTAATACACTCAAGGATTTATTGTGTAAATGTATATTACCCTACTTAATAGATATGTAAATAGTAAGAAAAGTAGGTAGTTGGGTTGTCAGTAGGTAGTTGGGTAGTCAGAGCGGTTGAGATTAGATTTAAAGTAGATAGATTGACAGTTTGTTTTTAAATGAGGGAGTTGTTTTAGAGGTGAGTTACTAATCCAAAGATCCTCTGGTCATTGTTGCACAGTACCATTCTACTCTATCAGGTTGATGTAAATCAGCATTGAAGAAAGGCTTCGAGCCAGGTCTTATATAGTCTAGTCTGGAGATGTTCTGTATGTATCTGGCTACGTCTCAAATGGCATCCTATATCCCATATAGTGCACTAGTTAAAAGATGCACTATGCTGAAATCGCTCCGCCATTTCCTGGTTGCTAAAATTCTAATAGTTAGCCTAATTTCAGTTTATGTGACAAAACAAGAAAGTATAGTGTAGAGAATCATTGTACCATCTAAACTGCTGTGAAATATATTTTCCATAACCAAAAATAATTTTAGTTTGAAGCTGGTGTACAAAAACGAAAGTCGGAGGCAAAAACGAAACTTAAGCATGGGACGCATAAAATAGTGCACATAGAACAGATCTACCGCTTCTTAGACTTGCTTTCAATGAGAACGACAGATCTATAACTCACATTTCTATGTGAATTCAGTTGGGTCGGCCAAAAATGTACATATTGCAGTATTAAAAGCAGTGCACTATGTAGGGGTGTCATAACATCCTTAATATAGTGCACTTTATGTAGTCCAGGGGTGTCAAACTCATTCCACTGAGTGTCAAATCAAATGTTTGGTTTTTCCTTTCAATTAAGACCTAGACAACCAGGTGAGGGGAGTTCCTTACTAATTAGTGACCTTAATTCATCAATCAAGTACAAGGGTGGAGCAAAAACCTGCATACACTCATCCCTCTGTGGAATGAGTTTGACATGTGTGACGTAGTGCATCAAGGAAATGGGGTGTTTCATTTGAGACAATGCCTCAGATACATCGCAGCTCTAACCCTATGGGGAATATGGTATGATTTGTAAAGCAGCCAGCCTGTGTGTCGCTGGGATGGGTAGACCAGAGGGGAGATTCAGAAGGGAGCTTGGCAGAACAGAAGGGTTGGAGATGTAGAAATAGAATCTCATTTTAGTTCTGTGGTTGGAGCCCTGATTCTTAATACTGACTGAGAAGTGAAGCCTGGCCTGAAGACAAGCCAAGCAGAGGGAATATAAAGCACAGCTATAACATTATTTACTAAGCATCTCAGAGTAGGAGTACTGATCTGGGATCAGTGCGCCCCTGTCTTTGCCTGAAGACTCAAACTGAATTCTTCCGCTGCTCTATCGTTCGCTACATACTAAAGTCTGAGACTGCCATCATTAACCAGGCATGCGTCCATCCAACCTTTTTTTATGCGAGTAAAGTACATGTCGGATAAAGAATGCCACGATAGCCTTGATGGAAACAACTAATTTGTCGGGTGAACGTTCCAAATGTAGACAAATCCAAATATGCTAGACAAGGTGGCATCTTTTTGTGTCGGTAACATTTATTATGCGAGAACTGGTGATCCTCCCACTACGACTCGGGAAAGTATGCCGTTTATTAGGCTACATATTAAATAAGTTATGAACGTCACGGGGTGGTGAATTGCACGGTGATGAGCTTGATGCTCCTTTCCAATAAAATGTTGAGGGTCTTATTCTGGTGACATGATCGATGCTTGGTTGCCGTTTGACAAATATAAATAATCTAGCTCTTTAGTCCATAATAATTGAATCATGCAGGCCAATTGTCACCAACCGCTTTCTCTTCAAGGCATTCCTAGTCGATCACCAAACGTTTCTGTAGAAAAGCCAGCGATAAAGACTGTGGTAAAGGCTGTGGTAAAGCCAACGATAAAGGCTGTGGTAAAGCCAACGATAAAGGCTGTGGTAAAGCCAACGATAAAGGCTGTGATAAAGCCAACGGTAAAGACTGTGATAAAGGCTGTGATAAAGCCTTGCGCTCCTTTAAAAAAATATATATATATATTATGTGGCGGTTGGTGCACTTGATTGAGAAGCCCTGCACACCGGGTAGGCAAAGTGTTCCCATTTTTAACCATTTCATTTGTCTGAAAAAACAAACTCTGCCTACCCAGTGGACCGGGAGATCTGTGGCTAAATCGAGTGCGCCTACTGGGCTGGCCAATGGGATAGCTCAAATCGCTGCGCCTACAGCGCTTCCACGACCCCAGGTCATAGCAAAGTTTGATACTAGCCTAATTTCGATGTAATAACTTTTAAAACCATGACCACAGAGAGACTGTCAAAGAATACAGCAAAGAGCTGCTGTTTTTATGAGCGAGTTCCATGTTAAAAATATGTATTCAGCACTGTCAACACTGTTTTTATTCAACACTATTACAAAACATAAAGCGCGCTTCTCTAGTACTTCCACTCGCGCTGCAAGGAAAGAGTGGCCAAGTGTCTCGATAGCCCTGCGCTTTTATTATTGCTAGCAGCTCGTCTTGTCTTTTAATATCGAGGAATATTTCACTTTCTCTGGTCATAGGAACAACGTGAATTTGTGCATTAAGCAGATGAGGTGCGACTCGAGTTTCTTCATTAGGTGGAAGACTGTCCCCTCTCACTGGTTAGTCTCACCGGTAAAAAAAATGGAGAGAGCAGGGAGGCAGTCTTTCCCCTACCTCGCTGAGACTAATGCAGTGTTCAAAACAACTGGGAACTCAGAAACCTCCGACTTCAGTGCGTTCAAGACAACTGTGAACTCGGGGGGGGAACGACATCCTACTGGGAAAAATAGTTTTGAACGGTCTTCCATCTCGGAATTCCAAGTCTCGGCATTTCGGGCATCTTTCGAGACCTCCGCCTTTACGATCTGAAGATCACTGACGTCATGATTTGACCTCGTTTTTTTTTTTTTTTTTTTTTTTAAGAGTTCCCAGTTGTCTTGAAAGCACAATGACCATCAGATGCAGGTACCATCAGTCCAGTAAAATAAAAAAGCCAATTATTTCAATGTATGCTCAGCTGTGCCTTGCAAGTGCTACACCAACTGATCTATTTTGTAATCAAATCTCGAAGTATTTAAATATTGGCAGGCCAGGCATATAGCCAATATGCTGTGATAATGAATTAGGCATACTGCACGAACCTCATTCTTACAGAACTGTTTTTATTGGGTTAATGTAAAAAAAAAAACGCTATATCTCGGCTTGCAGTTTGATTGCGTTTTGACTGCGGAAGTGATCTTGACTCAGAAAAGGTTGGTGACCACTGATGTAGGCTTTACCCGCACTGCATCTGTGAGCTGTTGACTAGAGCGCACATGCCAATACCAGAGTGGGCACATTAGCTAGATAACGCAATTTTTTTGGTGACAAAACCATCCGTAGGCCTAGCGTTGAAAATGCCATGGAAACCCATTTAACGTGTATTTTTTATTCGGTACATGGGAATCTGTAAAAGGTATTTTTATGTGCACTACGTCATCAAGTACAGCCTTTTATCCGCAACAGGTCCATTTGATGGAAACACATCTCTGGTGGAAAAATGCGCGTATTGTTTTTATGCAGATTCTTGAATATTCACATGAAAATCTGTCACCAATTGGATGGAAACCTAGCTATTGAAGTAGTTTGCAGTGATATCAAAATGAGGGGTGTTGTACAAAACAAAGTAATCAGCGATTGGATCATCTAACTAATCAGAGTAGCAAAGTCAATGACGTATTTTCAAACTTCCGCTTTACCCACGTGTGTTCTGGCTCTGGCCCAACCCATCGGTTTCTGGGACCAATCAGAACGGTTAGAATGTTTTTCCGTTCTAGAAATCGTCTTGGAGGTACTCAGATCCAGACTCATTGTGGAGAAGAAATTAACACCCGTTGGCGTGGCGTAGCGTTTGGCTGGTGTAAGGAGCTTGGGTAGCCAGGCAACCCCTAAAAAAAAATATTTTTTTTTTTTAAAAAAGGATCCTATATCAGCACTCCTAATCCTAAAAATCTTTAAGAATACGTGCCCTAATTTATAATGCTGGAAGTCTGGACTATAGACAGGACCACCCAAGTGGAAGGAATGTAAAGTACAACTGCAGCTCTGGGCCAGAGATTAGGGTGCTGTTCAAGGATCAGTTTAGCCTTTTTAGATCATAATGAATAACATATGGACAAGGGTGAACCTGATCCTTAGATCAGCACTCCTAGTCTTAGAAGCTGTACAAGTGCTCTGGTTCTGTCTGACCTGACATGTGGATTTAGCACCTAATGTCAAGGACTCTAGGGCTCCCCAGAGAGATTGGGGCTGTTGTTGCTGTGTGCAATTGCTTTTATACATGGTGTTAATTGTATGTTTTGTGTGCGGTGTGTTACTAAGCCTGTGGGAATTAGCCAGAAAGGAGAACAAAAGGGTAAAATGATTGTTACCGAATGGAATAAGACGTTAAGTTTAAGTGAAAGCACACAGTGTAAGCCTAATATTAAAGTTTTGTTTTTTGGTATCTTATCCTCAGCTGGGGAAAAAAGGTGTTAAGTGTCTTTGCAATTGATGCAAACGCTTAGTAAATCTGACCCTTAGACTTTTGATTTTTGATTTTATTTTTATCTGATGATGTGTATAGGTAGTTTTTGTGTCGTACTACTAGATTACATGTAGTGTAACACGTTGTGTTGAAACGTTTTATAGTGTTATGTCATTCAGATGGCTAGCTAGCTACCTTTCTATGCCATTAAGCGCTATTAAAGCTTTCCAGGTACTGTATTATCTCCTGTATCTCCCAGGTTAGACTCTACACCAGGTGGGGTCCTACTCTGGTCCTGGGGAACCTACTGGAAATGCAGGGTTTTGTTCCAGCCCTACACTAACACACTCTGGAGATCCCTAGGACGGTGGGGCCTGACTCCCAACACTAACACACCTTATTCAACTAATCAAGGTCCAGACTGAAGACCATGAATAGTTGATTACTTGAAACTGGTGTGTTAGTGCAGGGTTGGAACAAAAGCCTGCACTCTCTAGGACTTGAGTTGGAAAACCCCATGCTCTACTCTATACTCTGGTAATATTATCTACTCTTCTGTGTTGTGAGTGGCCATTTTGTAAAAAATAACCGTGTACTCTGTTGTTTGTGATAATCTACTAGTCTGTGTTTCAATGGTCATTTATTCAAGTATATGAATCACTTTAACTCTGCAGACTAAGGCTGACACAGGCAGCCCAATTCTGATATTATGCTGCTAATTGGTCTTTTGACCAATCCGATCAGATCTTTTGCTAATAATTGTGCAAAAGGTCAGAATTGGGCTGCCATGTTTTAGTGTTCATGGGTATGTCAGATATGCTGCAAAAATATCTCTAACTCATATTGTTCTTAATCTTATCAGATTTCCTCTACTGTGGTCGGGTTTGTTCTTCAGTGAAATGTGTGGGTGCGTGTGTGTGTGTGTGTGGGGGGGGGGGGTACAATCGAAAAGTCATACTGTAATATAGTAAGTCTGTGTATGGGGAAAAGTACTATGGAACAGTGATACTGCAGCACAGGAAGTGTGTGTGTGTGTGCCTCTGAGGCTTTTGTTGTTTTGAGCTCTTTTTCATCTCTGTAAAACTTTATAACAAGGTTTACTCGGTTAGCCAGCAGCTGTGAGACTGGTCTCTGTGTTGCCAGGTTTGTATATTTTATCACAGGGACTCATCGCCCCAAAAGGGTTTTAGTATGTGTTGCCAGGTTTGTATATTTTATCACAGGGACTCATCGCCCCAAAAGGGTTTTAGTATGTGTTGACTAGGTTTGTTTATCATTTTGTTTTATGAAAGTATTTTTGATCAGTTGAAAGTTATACAAAGTCTACACTTTTGGATGCCAGGTTTAACTAACTAAATATATCAGAATGGTTTGTGTTGAACTAGCTTACCCTTGTTTTAACTAAAATATGTTGAGGGTTGAGTAGCTAGACAATCCCCTACCAATCATACTCACTTACCTCAGGGTTTATATTGCCTTGCTGTTGGTCAAGAATGTGTCGAGGGGAAAGATTTTGTGATTGTAGGGATATCAGACCTGGGTTGACGGGGTTTGCACTTTTGGCACTATTCCATTGGTTCCATTAACACTGTACAAGCTCAATCAAGCGCACACCTAAAGTATTTGAAAGAAAACAAATACCATTTCAACCCAGGTATGAGGTGAAATGTTAATTTATTTAGCCATGTTTAAATTGACAAACAGTAATTTAGAGGTGTATAGTGTATTTTACTCTGAGCATGCCTTTTCATCCTCTCCTTCAGGTGTCAGTTGTCGATAGGCCTATGCATTTGAACTCTTTGTTTTTAAAACATTGCCACAGTAACGTTGTTCGTTCTAAAAAATGGCAAGACATGAATTTAAAGATGTTATTTAGTTGTGTGAGATGTATAGTATATTGAAAATTGTATGTATTACTGATGTATATTACAATGGAAAAATAAAAACTAATTTGTCTTGACTTCCTCGTCATCTTCCTCCCTTAGATAACCCATAATAGTTGCAGACTAACCGGTACTAAGAGGAGAATGGGATGTGAGTAGTGATATCCTTGGGAAACTGGCTGTTTTATCCCTCAATTTTAGCTGTGAATTTGTCTCCTCGACTACAATGAACAGCACGCTCAGCATTGGAAGGACATTTACATGACTTTAATCAGAGACGTGTTAGTCAACATGACTGCTTCTCATTACAGTTGCAAATTAATGATTACAGTTGGAGGGAAAATCTACAACCCAAATGTAGTATGCAGGCAATCAAGACAGAATGCTCCTAGTACGAAGGCAACCATTACCACTGAATAATGTTTTCCTCAAGTAGAGAATGAATCTCCCGGTGACTGTGTATAACTCACGTCAACTATCAGCTCAATCCATGTATCTCTCCCAGTAAGAATCCACAGTTTGAAAAAAGTATAAAGTAGCTATGATTTGTGTCCCTCCCATGGTATGAAGTATTATAAGTCTATGGTATGAAACCCCTCCTCCGGTCTGCTGCTGCTACTGCTCGACGACCGCGACATCGGTGAAGCCTGCGCTGCATCCTGGTCACCATGACGACCCATCTTCCCCATTTTCAGCCTATCCCTCCAGGTGACGGGGTTGCGTTGGGGGGCAGGGGAGGGAACAGGGTTACGGACGACCTGTCCAGGATTGTAGGTAGAGGTGGTATGGGTAGGGGTAGAGGCTGGCTTCTGGTGTGTGGGTCCTTTGGTCCTCCTCATCAGCCCCAGACGGGAGGGCTTCCTCTGGGCTTGTTCTGCTGCCTGCTGGCTCTGGAGCTGCTGCTGCAGGATCCTCTGGACATCGTCCTGACACACAGAAATAGACAGATTATTCGTTTTTTTTGTTTATCTTTTTATTGCCCAATAGTAAAAAACGCAGACAACGATATTGATGGATTATTCCTCATTATGGCATTTCAGTATTGCAGTTGTATTTATGTTGATTTTTTTTCTGCCCACTGCTGCAACTTCTACCTCTGAAGCCTCAGCGTCATTGCACAAAATGGCACGCAGCATCATCTGGATATGTGTGCAACAAAAGTTCAACATTCACCTTCTGCTACCATTTCTGTCAAGCCGTCTATGCATACAGTTTGACACACACGTTGGATAAATCCTACGTATGCACCACACAGAACGCTCTACAAAGCAATGCCGCAAGGCAAACGCAGCTTCCATTGGAAATGAATGTACTTCTGGTACCAAAATACAAAAACGATGTCGGTGTGATCGAGGCGTTAGACACCAAACCTATTCTGACCAGTGATGTAGTGGTAAAAATAAAATAGGTGGGTAAACTCTGTTTGCTGGTCGCGGTGAAAAAAGTAAAGCTACCTATCCTTTCAATGCATTTTTCTGCATAAGGTGGATAAACTGTTGGGCAAAATCGAAAGGTGGGTAAACTGTTTTTACTTGTGTTTACCGCCACTGCCTGCTCTATTGTCTCTCTAGTTCAGTCTGACCTAGGATCAGATCTGTCTTCTCATTCACACTTAGGATCAGATCTGTCTTCTCATTCACACCTAGGATCAGATCTGTCTTCTCATTCACACCTAGGATCAGATCTGTCTTCTCATTCACACCTAGGATCAGATCTGTCTTCTCATTCACACCTAGGATCAGATCTGTCTTCTCATTCACACCTAGGATCAGATCTGTCTTCTCATTCACACCTAGGATCAGATCTGTCTTCTCATTCACACCTATGATCAGATCTGTCTTCTCATTCACACCTAGGATCAGCTCTTTTCATTGTAATAGCCGAAACCACTAATTTGAATGGGTGTCCACATACTTTTGTATATATAGTGTACATTCTCCTCTTGGTGACAGTAGACATGACTGATCTAACGGCTATATATACACACTGTATTTATGTATGTCTATGTCTGATGATCATACCAAGGTATGAATGAGAAGACAGAGCTAATCCTAGGTGTGACACTATATATACACACAGAAGTATGTGGACACCCCTTACAATTAGTGGATTCGGCAATTTCAGCCACACCCGCTACTGACAGGTGTATAAAAACAAATATTGGCAGTATAATGGCCTTACTGAAGAGCTGAGTGACTTTCAACGTGGCACCGTCATAGGATGCCACCTTTCCAACAAGTCAGTTCGTACAATTTCTGCCCTGCTAGAGCTGCCCCGGTCAACTGTAAGTGCAGTTATTGTGAAGTGGAAACTTCTAGGAGCAACAACGGCTCAGCCGCAAAGTAGTAGGCCGCACAAGCTCACAGAACGGGACCACCGACTGCTGAAGCGCGTAGCACATAAAAATAGTCTGTCCTCTGTGGCAACACTCATTACCGAGTTCCAAACTGCCTCTGGAAGCAACGTCAGCACAAGAACTGTTCGTCAGGAGCTTCATGAAATGGGTTTCTTATTTTATTAGGATTTTTTACCCCCTTTTTCTCCCCAATTTCATGATTACGATCTTGTCTCATCGCTGCAACTCCCCAACGGGCTCGGGAGAGGCGAAGGTCGAATCATGCGTCCTCCGAAACATGACCCGCCAAATCGCGCTTCTTATCACCCGCTCTCTTAACCCGGAAGCCAGCTGCACCAACGTGTCAGAGGAAACACCTTTCAAATGACGACAGAAGTCAGCCTGCAGGCGCCCGGCCTGCCACAAGGAGTCGCAAGAGCGCGATGAGCCAAGCAAAGCACCCCCGGCCAAACCCTCCCCTAACCCAGACGACGCTGGGCCAATTGTGCGCCGCCCAATGGGACTCTCGGCCGGTAATGACAACCTGTGATCGAACCCCAGGCTGTAGTGACGCCGCAACACTGCAATGCAGTGCCTTAGACCGCTGCACCACTCGGGAGGCCATGAAATGGGTTTCTATGGCCGAGCAGCCACACACAAGCCTAAGATCACCATGCGTAATGCCAAGCGTCGGGTGGAGTGGTGTAAAGCTCGCCACCATTGGACTCTAGAGCAGTGGAAACGCATTCTCTGAAGTGATGAATCACGCTTCACCATCTGGCAGGTCGACGGACAAATCTGGGTTTGGCAGATGCCAGGAGAACGCTACCTGCCCGAATGCATAGTGCCAACTGTAAAGTTTGGTGGAGGAGAAATAATGGTCTGGGGCTGTTTTTCATAGTTCGGGCTGTTAGTTCCAGTGAAGGGAAATCTTAACTTGGTGGCAACAGTTTGGGGAAGGCTCTTTCTTGTTTCAGCATGACAATGCCCAAGTGCAAAAAGCGAGGTCCATACAGAAATGGTTTATTGAGATTGGTGAGGAAGAACCTGACTGGCCTGCACAGAGCCCTGACCTCAACCCCATCGAACACCTTTGGGATGAATTGGAACGCTGACTGCGAGCCAGGCCCAATCGCTCAACATCAGTGCCTGACCTCACTAATGCTCTTGTGGAAGCAGGTCCCCGCAGCAATGTTTCAACATCGAGTGGAAAGCCTTCCCAGATGAGTGGAGGCTGTTATAGCAGCAAAGGGGGGACCAACTCCATATTAATTCCCATGACTTTGGAATGAGATGTTCGACGAGCAGGTGTCCACATATCTTTGGTGATGTAGTGCATGTCATGTCATATTGCACCATTAGAGGGAGCTGGTCCCTCACCACCAGATGGCCCCAGGCTCTATTACTCCAGTATCACGCTAGGACACCAGCTGGTGACCTGTACCGGCTGGATACACTATACCGTGTGTGTGTGAGTGCACGTGTGTGCTAAACCATGGGTAATTTGCTATTGGCCCTCATTAGTGAGAGCTTGTTTTCGACTGTACCACCTCTTCCCAGCTGAGTCCATATGTTCCATAATGTAGGTCTCAGACATATCTATCTTTTCTCTCTCTCTCTCCTCCCACCATCTCTTAGTACCTTCCAGGCCTCTAGTTCCAGCGAGAGCTCCAGTCGTTTCTGCACAGCCTCCAGCAGCTGGTTGTTCAGTAACATCATCTCTGTCTTACTACGGAGAAGCTCCGCCTCCATGGCCTTCTTCCTGTTCAACAGGAAGTGGGAGAAAAAAAACTAAACAAAACATCAATGTGTCATTTTTTTTACAGGAACAATGCTTTTCCCTCTTTTAGATGAGGCATTGACACTTCTCTTTGCCGTGAAGTGTGTGTGTGTGTGTGTACTCACTTCTCCATGGCATCGTCTCTGTCCCGTAGTGCCTGTTGTAGAATAGCGCTGTCATCTACATCATTCCCTTTCTGAACCCAGGACTTGGAATCCTGGGGGAAACAAAACAAGAGCAAGTGGTTGGGGGAAAAAAGGGAGGTTTGTTTTATTGATATTCTTACAGTTATGGAATGCATTGACATAAAATTGTTTCTTACTACTGATGATGTACATTTATCAGTACTTCTGCTAGTTGGAATGAAATGTTTGCTGATATATTCTGGCCTTCCGTGTATGTGGTGATGCACCATGACTCAGTAACACTAGGAGTAATTTTAAATGCCACCAAGTAATTAAAATTCCACTGAAACAAGGTTGAGCTAACTGAACCCATCAGGACACGTACATGAACTGAACCAGTCTGGGCTCACCTCACTGGCAGGGTTAAGGCTCACCCGAGGGGCGGGGTCTAAATTCACCTGACATGAACCCTTAGCCTCTGAGCTACTGTTGGATCTGCATAGATTTACTCATCTTTGTATTGTATGGGTTTGCCTGTGGGGGTGGGATCTAATGCAAATAGTCTGGGTAGCCATTTGATTAGATGTTCAGGAGTCTTATGGCTTGGGAGTAGAATCTGTTTAGAAGCCTCTTGGACCTAGACTTGGCACTCCGGTACAGGTTCACCTGTGCTGTGTTGCTGAGAGCTAGTTTAGGTTCACCTGTGCTGTGTTGCTGAGATCTAGTTTATGTTCACCTGTGCTGTGTGGCTGAGAGCTAGTTTGCGTGCTACGTTCTGCAGCAGGACCAGGGCTGTATCCAGACTGTTCTCCTGACCAGATGGTTCTACTGAGCTGGACTCTGCTTCTGTCAGAGGAAGCAACAACCTCAGAATGGACTGAACCTCCTCTGTAACCTAGAGAGAGAGAGAGAAACAGTCAATGCAGTCATGCAGAACAACAGCTCCTGACTTTTTTATAACTTCTTGGTTGTTAGGAGTGAGATGAACACGATGAAAAATGGCAGAAAAATATAAGTAATCAAATTGTACAACTGAAGATCATCACAAGAGGAAAAGATTGACAGAGTATGAGTTAAAAGAGCGATCTTAATCGTGCTAGCTAGCTAAGTTCCAATTTGTCAGTTAGCTTACTAGCTAGCGCCAACTGGCGGTAACCATAGCAACATGACCACTGAGGCAGCAGCAGCACCAGCAGAGAGACTTTCCCCGTCTTTGTTTTTAAATTTGCAGCAGAAATAAAATTAGAGAAGGGAAGACTCAATTTTAAACACAGAATTCAGAGGAAGAACCCGGAGACTTTGTTTGCCGACTGCTCACACAACAGGACTGTTACAAACCTGTTATTTTACACAGACCACACTACTGCCTGGCATACAGCTGTAACCAGGCATTTCAGCTATACAACAAACAATAGGCATCTGCAAGGGAAGGCAAATACAACAAAAATACCACAGTGAAAACAGGTTTCTGATGGTAAACGGACCAGAGCGGCACTGTCATGGTCCAGGGCAGTGAGGCTGCACTCAGCTCTTTTGTGCAGGACTTCCCTGGGGAAGATAGCGGAAACCAAAAAGGACAGCACCCCGACCTCTCCCCTCATCTCAGGCACTCCAACAGCAGGAGCCCAGGCCCAGATCCACACAACAGGTCTATCCTCCCCCCTGCCTGCCTACGACCACCAGAGCCAAGACCACACCACCATCAGCCTGCTGAGAGACAGGCCGGCTCTGTTAGAGGTATGGGTTACTGAGCTAAAGGAGCAGCCCCCCCAGCTACACCAACTCCAGCCCTGACAGAGCTTCCACAGGACCAGATCAACCAGTCCAGGAGCTGAGAGATAGCCTCACCACAGCTCTTGAGGAGGTAAAGGAGATGGCAAAGGAGCTGTCTGTCATCAAGATGGTGCTGCACCACAGATACCAGCCTGTAGAGACTCCTAGAGAGAAGCTGCAGCACAACTTCATATGGGCCTGTATATGTGCTTTCTTGAGCAGGGGGACCTTGCGGGCGCTGCAGGATTTCAGTCCTTCACGGCGTAGTGTGTTACCAATTGTTTTCTTGGTGACTATGGTCCCAGCTGCCTTGAGATCATTGACAAGATCCTCCCGTGTAGTTCTGGGCTGATTCCTCACCGTTCTCATTATCATTGCAACTCCACGAGGTGAGATCTTGCATGGAGCTCCAGGCCGAGGGAGATTGACAGTTCTTTTGTGTTTCTTCCATTTGCGAATAATTGCACCAGCTGTTGTCACCTTCTCACCAAGCTGGTTGGCGATGGTCTTGTAGCCCATTCCAGCCTTGTGTAGGTCTACAATCTTGTCCCTGACATCCTTGGAGAGCTCTTTGGTCTTGGCCATGGTGGAGAGTTTGGAATCTGATTGATTGATTGCTTCTGTGGACAGGTGTTTTTATACAGGGAACAAACTGAGATTAGGAGCACTCCCTTTAAGAGTGTGCTCCTAATCTCAGCTCGTTACCTGTATAAAAGACACCTGGGAGCCAGAAATCTTTCTGATTGAGAGGGGGTCAAATACTTATTTCCCTCATTATAATGCAAATCAATTTATAACATTTTTGACATGGTTTTTCTGGATATTTTTGTTGTTATTCTGTCTCTCACTGTTCAAATAAACCTACCATTAAAATTATAGACTGATTATTTCTTTGTCAGTGGGCAAACATACAAAATCAGCAGGGGATCAAATACTTTTTTCCCTCACTGTATATGTAAGAGTTCTAAACTTCCTTAATGAGCACTGTCTTGAGTAAAAGCCAGATTGGATTTATACCAAAACATCGCACGACGTGTGACAATTTAATCCGTGGCAATAAATGGAGCATCAAAATTGGCAAGACAATTCTTTAACCAGGGGCCTGGCCTTTACCAGGGTTGCAATCTCAGCCCAGCGCTTTTGGCCACTATTCTAGAAAAATCCTCAGCCCATGGTGTTAGTCTCCAAAATACAGAGGTTAAATGCCTGCTCTTCACAGATGACCTGTGCCTGCTGTCACGCACAGCACATGGCCTACAGCAGAGCTTGGACCTGGTAGAGCAGTACTGCCAGACCTGGGCCCTGGCAGTAAATCCCCAAAAGACTAAAACAATGATTTTCCAGAGAAGACCCAGATCTCAGGGAATTAGACCAAAGTTCTCAATTTCTACAAAATATATATAGAGTACTACACACACTACAATTACTTAGATTTCAAAATAAGCTCAACTGGACACCTAAATGAGGCAGTGAATTAATTGAGAGAGCACGCAGGGCATTCTACACCACAAAAAAACACATTCAAATACTACAGTGAAAACTTGGGCTCCCAAGTCGCGCAGCGGTCTAAGGCACTGCATCTCAGTGCTTGAGGAGTCACTACACACCCCCTGGTTTGATTCCAGGTTGTATCACAACCGGCCGTGATTGGGAGTCCCATAGGGCGGCACACAATTGGCCCAGCGTCGTCCGGGTTTGGCCGGTGTAGGCCGTCATTGTAAATAAGAATTTGTTCTTAACTGACTTGCCTAGTTAAATAAAGGTAAAATAAATAATAAAATAGAAAGACCTAGTCAAATTTGGCTCAAACTAATTGAATGTGTCATTGTATCAATTGTACTTTATGGCAGTGAGGTGTGGAGTCCACTTGCGAAACAAGATTTCACCCAATGGTACAAACACCTACAGTACATGTCCAGAGGAAAACTACAACAATGCATGCAGGGCAGAATTAGGCCAATAACCACTAATAATAAAAATAGCAATTAAGTTTAGAAAACATCTCAAATAGTGACCCACTCTCATAACATTTACCCTGCAATGCCAAGAGCTGAGAAAATAAAATATTTCCCCTCATCCAGCTGGTCCTGAGTTCACAAACCTGTTCTACTAACACACTGAAGCCTCAGGACCAGAACATCCAATCAATCAGAATAAACCAAATTACACAGTCAAAACCAAAACTACATTACCTATTGGGAAAAACAAGCACAAAGCAAAATGCAGTGCTATCTGGCTCTAAAACGACAGTACACCCTGGCATCACCCAAGCTATTTGACCAAGTTACTGATCAAAACCTTTGAAAAGTTTGAAAAAGTACAGGCTCAGTGAGCACAGCCTTGCCATTGAGAAAGGTAGAAACAGGAAAACCTGGCTCCCTATAGAGGAAAGGCTGTGCAACCACTGCACCACAGCAGAACCTGAGACAGAGCTGCATTTCCTGAGGGAGGGGGTGAGAGGGGGAGAGGGGGAGAGAGGAAGGGGGTAGGGGTGAGAGCGGGAGGGGGAGAGGGAGGGAAAGAGAGAAAGAAAGAGGGGAAGAGTTCATCATACACACAGACTTCTAAACGTGATGTCCTTCACAGAAACCGAAAGGATTCTCTCCTTGTGTGCAGTTAGCCTACTCCCAGAAACTCCATTCAAGCCCTGTTGTCATGTGATACATGTTGTTATTCAACCTCTTATACATTTACATTTTAGTCATTTAGCAGACGCTCTTATCCAGAGCGACTTACAGTTAGTATACATCACACAGTTCTTGTTTCTGTATGTTTCAACGATTGCATGACCTTTGAAATGAACTTTGAAATATATGGTTATGCTTGAATTCTTGACTGTATTTGAAGTGTGTGTGTGTGTGTGTGTGTGTGTGTGTGTGTTACCTTCTCCCTGTGTTGGCTCCATTCTGGTTCGTCTCTGTTCTCCTGTAGTTTGTCCACCTGAGCCTTCAGCCTCAGACTGCGTCTCAGAGACAGCGCCACCTCCCGACGCACCTCCTTCAACTACACACACACACACACACACACACACATACACAAGCACGTTTGTAAAGAAGCATGTTTATCAAATTCCTACAGGAGTTGCTGAATTTTCTCTTCACTTCAACTAGACACACACACACACACAGTGTTACATACAAACACACTCACACAAACACCATCTCCCAAGGCACTACCTTTAACCACGCATGCACACACACACACACACACACACAAACACACACACAACCTTCCACTAAGAATAGATGGTGTCATGAAAAACTCAGGCACAGTGGTAAACAGTGCTAATCCAGATTCCTGCAAGATGAGAGCAGCAGAGACAAATCCTGTTGTACTGGATACGCATGTGACAGCTCATATTACTCACGCACAGATACACACACACCAGGCCCCTCACTGATAAGGGCCCAAAGAGAGACAACAATATATTATCAACAAATCAAACCTGTCTCCATTGGCTGATTACATTCCATAGCAGAGTATGACACACTAGTACTGAATGAGGTGAAAGATCTGTTCTGGTCCAAGATCGTCAAATAGCATAACAAGTACAGCGTCAAATGACATTCAATACACTTTCTTGGCCGCACAGCACACACATTTTATTTTTGTCCGTCTTCACTCTCTCTCTCACCGTGTCTGAGACTGGTCCTAGTGTTCTGCGTCTGCTGAGCGGTCGTCCATTCCTGATGAGGTCCGGTAAGGTTCTGTCTATGTAGCTCCGTCTGAAAGGGCTCTTATCCTCACTGACCTCATCAGAACCATCTCCCTCACTGACCTCATCAGAACCATCTCCATCTCCCTCACTGACCATGGTCAAACCACCTAGACCGCCATTCTCTATGGTCAAACTCTCCCTGACCACGGTCAGCTCACCAGAATCATCAGGACTAGCATCTTCTACGGCCAAAGACGGCATCAAGCAGTTACTGATCATGCTCATGGTCAACAGTTCATGACAGTCGTCACCCTCTTCGGTCAGAGACGTCAACCCTTCTGTGACCACATCCTCTTTCTCTGGGTCATCCTCTGGTTCGGTCGTGGTCGAGCTTGAATCGTCCTGTGTTTGTATTTCATCTCTCAGTATTGTAGACCGTGTGTTTGAACCGCCCCTGACCGTGCCAGGCCGCTGTGATCCATCTTCCAGGGTGTCCAAGGAGTAGCAGAGGCGTTCCATGGCAGTGAACTGTGGTCTCAGTCTCTCGTTCAGGATGGAGAAAGGCACAGGGTCTCCCATGGTATAACAGGGGGGTCACAACCACCAAAAATAGCAAACCAACAAGAGGAGAGTTCGAGAGAAAGAATGGAAGAGAGGAGCTCACAATCTCACTGGGACAAAAAAAAATGACTGGCAGTGAGAAGAGGCGATGACAGAGTGAAAAGTAGAGGAAGAGCAAAGGGGAGGGAACGAAACCCAGAATGTCTACCAACTAGTTTTTCCTGACTAACAAGAATACGACCTACATATCTTATGTTTGATGATGTCATCGTCTGGCTGCACCCTCACCTTTTTTTTCTTCAACTTCTGTTTCTATTGCTTCGGTGATGGTAACCTGGATACGGACACGTCAACATGTCAGGGCTTGAGGGAAGTGGCCCTTTGAAGCCCTGACACAATCAGAGACAGATTACAGACATGACGTACGACATCTATCTGTTTATACTGCCCTGTTATCATATAACAACGCCAAGCTACACAGACATCCATTCAGAAGGGAGGAGGAGCAAGTGTGTGAGAGAGAGAAGAGAAAAGACATGGGAGGGAGAGTACAAAAGAGAGAGGTCATTCCACCAATTCAGTGCCATTTTAAAAAATACAAAAAATACAAAAAAAATGATTTCACCTCATTTTCATTTTTAAGATTTGTCATAAAGAGCACATGTTCAGCTTCATAAAAAACGTTTTCCCACCTCAAGAGGTTTTAAAGAGCGACGGCCCCTAAAAAGCAACTTCTCGTTTTGATAACGGCCTGTGACATCGATATGAGTCAGAAACATTTATTATAGTGTTAAAATTGACTACAGTGTAAATAGGATAATTTTAGTCATAAAGTCTGTCTCGTCCAAAACGGAGATTTGCGAGATGATAGGAAAAAATTGTATGTCATGGAACGTAACCTAACAGTTTTCCTTGGGCTGGGTTTATTTCAATCCTGCCCACAGCTGGCAGCTCTCAAGTAATCTTCAATTAGGAAATTAGGAAAGCAGCTGCACAGGACCCGATCATAATGCCCATGGTCAATTTGGTTTGACATTCGGTAGTTAGGGACCATCAGTAAATTACACAATGTACATAATACAATAATTTAAAATGTCAATAGCTCCATATTTCTATGACTTAAAAACTCCTAACAAACTATAAATTGTAAAAATTCATATAGAAATATTGAAAGCATTTAAAGAAACAACTAAAAAAAATAGTCACATTTACATTGTGTAATTTATTGATGGTCACGTAACTAGTCCCAGAGATAAGTTATCCAATGTCAAACCAACTTTGCCACGTTCCCACACCAGCCAGCTGAAGCTAATTGTAGAAAGAAGTTGGCCTTGGCGACTTCAAGACAAGACCTGGTTAGACTGTTTCAAGTTATCTAGTAACTGTGTACTGTTTTGGCAGAGTGAATGTACAAACACACACACAAGAGACACCCACATTAACCAAGACAACTCTCGTTTGGCTTCAGTCATGGACACTGCAATTCTTAATGAGCAAGCTGGAAGTTCAGCCCCTCTTTAATCCTCTTGAGTTAATTTCCGCAGCACCACAGAAATGTAATTAACATTTACATTTTAGTCATTTAGCAGACGATCCGATCCAGAGCGACTTACAGTTAGTGCATACATTATTATTATTATTTATTTTTTTTCATACTGGCCGCCCATGGGAATCGAACCCACAACCCTGGCGTTGCAAACGCCATGCTCTACCAACTGAGCTACATCCCTGCCGGCCATTCCCTTCCCTATCCTGGACGACGCTGGGCCAATTGTGCGCCGCCCCATGGGTCTCCCGGTCGCGGCCGGCTACGACAGAGCCTGGATTCTAACCAGGATCTCTAGTGGCACAGCTAGCACTGCGATGCAGTGCCTTAGACCACTGCGCCACTCGGGAGACATAATAAAAGATCCCCATAAAAATCTGTTGCATTGGCTGAGTCTCAATTCAACGCATTGATGGCAGATCTGCATTGGTGGCAGAGCTACAGAGGAGTTTGTCTTCTCACAAAAACGTCTGTAGCGTCTGAATGTTTTGGCCTACAAACTATTAAAGGGGAGACTCTCACGAACATGTACATGTCGGTGGTGTTGCTCTACGACCCCCACAACAGTCACTTATTAACCACCAAATAAAGTAACGATTTAATCTTAAATCAGCCGTAAATCCATAAATCCAAATGCTTCACAAAAAGCATTTCTAACCTGTCTATGTATGTATAGGTAACAGGGTTGACGTGTTATGACCGCTCAGTTTTCCGCCAAAAAGTGAAGAACCAGCTCACCTATTTTCTATTTTCAAGTGCAATTGTCAATCGCACGCTCGTTTGCAATTTCAACCTGTTAAAGCCAGTGCTCTTCTATTTTAGCGCCATGATTGGTCATTTACCTGCCTTATATGTGACCTACCACCTCTTTTCGGTCTTACGTTCCAAAATTAGAATGTTTTTGTTTTTTATTTTTACAAAAGTACAGACTTCAAAATGGTGTATCATACATTGTAATTGGAGAAAAAATGGGAAGGTAATGCTGCTTTAAAAGTTGATAAAAGTATAATACCATTTAGGAGAAAAGGGCATTCAAATTTTTGCCGTGATTTTCAGACTTGCTCTACATTAATCCTTTATCCAACATATTTAGAAAAGGAATACTTTCACCAAATTGCCTAAATGGATTCTGTGAACATTATCTCACCAATTTCCCCATTAGACAAACCATTAACAGTATTAAATAGCCTGTTGTTGTATAATAAAGATAGCCTTTCACATTGAATAGCTAGTGTTTACGCCCATTTAGCCTCATCCACACCCTCTTAAGCCTTAGACCCGCCCATCTCTTAAAGAATTCACCTGAGAACATGTGACTGTGGCCATGTGCTAAAACAGTGAGGTAGTGCTTAAAAAAACAAGATTAAAATACTATTAAATTCAAGTGCTAAAGGTGGTAGCCTACAATTAGGAAAAACTTACAACCCACAAAGGCTTAGGTACAAACACTATCTAGACCTAGGTCTATATCATGAGATCCTGTGTGTGACTTTGGTTCAGGTCAGGTTAAAAGTTTAGTCATTTAGCAGACGCTCTTATCCAGAGCGACTTACAGTTAGTGAATACCTTTTTTGTATTTTTATACTGGCCCCCCGTGGGAATCGAACCCACAACCCTGGCGTTGCAAACGCCATGCTCTACCAACTGAGCTACATCCCTGCCGGCCATTCCCTCCCCTACCCTGGACCAATTGTGCGCCGCCCATGAGTCTCCCGGTCGCGGCCGGCTGCGACAGAGCCTGGATTGGAACCAGGATCTCTAGTGGCACAGTTAGCACAGCGATGCAGTGCCTTAGACCACTGCGCCTCTCAGGAGCTATCCTAATCAGATTTTATTTGTCACATGCACTGAGTAAAACAGCTGTAGACTTTACCGTAAAATGCTGACTTACGAGCACTTTCACTACAATGCAGAGTTAAAAATAAAAATAAGCTACATTTAAAAAAAAATGAAAATAAAATAACAGTAACGAGACTATATACAAGGAGTACCGGTACAGAGTCAATGTGCAGCGGTACGAGGTAGGTTATGATATAAACAAATGAATCTAGCCTGAGAGCCTTTTGGAGCAGGACATGTAATGTCCACAAAAGTCTCCATCTTCTAAAAAATATATACTGAACAAAAATATAAACACAACATGCAACAATTCCATTGATTTTACTGAGTTACAGTTCATATGAGGAAATCAGTCAATTTAAATAAATTCTTTAGGCCCTAATCTATGAATTTCACATGACTGGGAATACAAATACAGTGGCTTGCGAAAGTATTCACCCCCCTTGGCATTTTTCCTATTTTGTTGCCTTACAACCTGGAATTAAAATTGATTTTTTGGGGGGTTTGTATCATTTGATTTACACAACTTGCCTACCACTTTGAAGATGCAAATTCTTTTTTGTTGTTGTTGTGAAACAAACATGAAATAAGACAAAAAAAACAGAAAACTTGAGCGTGCATTACTATTCACCCCCCCAAAGTCAATACTTTGTAGAGCCACTTTATGCAGTCTCTATAAGCTTGGCACATCTAGTCACTTGGATTGTTGCCCATTCTTCAAGGCAAAACTGCTCCAGCTCCTTCAAGTTGGATGGGTTCTGCTGGTGTACAGCAATCTTTAAGTCATAGCACAGATTCTCAATTGGATTGAGGACTGAGCTTTGACTAGGCCATTCCAAGACATTTCAATGTTTCCCCTTAAACCACTCGAGTGTTGCTTTAGCAGTATGATTAGGGTCATTGTCCTGCTGGAAGGTGAACCTCCGTCCCAGTCTCAAATCTCTGGAAGAATGAAACAGGTTTCCCTCAATAATTTCCCTGTATTTAGCACCATCCATCATTCCTTCAATTCTGACCAGTTTCCCAGTCCCTGCCGATGGAAAAAACATCACCACAGCATGATGCTGCCACCACCATGCTTCACTGTGGGGATGGTGTTCTTGGGGTGATGAGAGGTGTTGGGTTTGCGCCAGACATAGCGTTTTCCTTGATGACCAAAAAGCTCAATTTTAGTCTCATCTGACCAGAGTACCTTCTTCCATATGTTTGGGAGTCTCCCACATGCCTTTTGGCGAACACCAAACGTGTTTGCTTATTTTAGTCTCATCTGACCAGAGTACCTTCTTCCATATGTTTGGGAGTCTCCCACATGCCTTTTGGCGAACACCATACGTGTTTGCTTATTTTTTTCTTTAAGCAATGGCTCTTCTCTGGCCACTCTTACGTAAAGCCCAGCTCTGTGGAGTGTATGGCTTAAAGTGGTCCTATGGACAGATACTCCAATCTCCACTCTGGAGCTTTGCAGCTCCTTCAGGGTTATCTTTGGTCTCTTTGTTGCCGCTCTGATTAATGCCCTCCTTGCCTGGTCTGTGAGTTTTGGTGGGCGGCACGCTCTTGGCAGGTTTGTTGTGGTGCCATATTCTTTCCATTTTTTTATAATGGATTTAATGGTGTTCCGTGGGATGTTCAAAGT